AGTCGTTTAGGTTTTTCGACCGTATGAGCTGTCAATTTACACTCAATTAAACCCCCCCCCCCCCCCCCCCCCCCCCCCCCCACGCCCCTGTACGCTGTTTCAACTCATTTTTTAAACAAAAAAAAAAGTTTGTTGTCTTTTTGTTTTGTTTTCTGTTTCACGGCGATTACTCATATATTTAAGGCACCCCTCGCTGCGCCCTCGTCCCGCCCCGCCCTGCCTAGAAACTGAGTAAAATAGTTGGCATTGAGTTTGTTGCCTAAGTCTTTTGTCAATTTGTTTTTTTTTTTTTTTTTTATTTAGTTTCTATTTACATTTCTATACACCCAACAAAAACATAGTTTCTTTTTTCGTTATTAAATAATTTGTTGCACTTTGTGAAACAATAAAAAAAAACCAAAAAAACCAAAAAAAAAAAATAATAAAAATAAAAGAATTAAATTGTACAAAAAGAAAGACCAGAAAAAGAATCGACTCCACAACAAGCTGCACAATTCAAATGCAATGAAAATTTTGTTAATGTTATATCGTTAGAAGCTGTGTTAACGAACGAAAGGCAATAAGAGCTGAGCTGAAACAAAAAGCAGTCGCCCAACAACGACAGAAACAACAACCAAATTATGAAAAATCACAAAATTTATTAAACAAAAACAAAAACAAAACCAAAAAAAAAAAACAACAAAAAAATAATAATAGTGAAAGTTTTTCATCGTCGCTCGGCCGACGTTTGCACAAAATTAACAGAAAAGCGAAATACGAAAAACAATCGTTTCCCAAAGCAAAGCAAAGCAAAACAAAACAAAATACAAACACACACACACACACACGCACACGCACAACTTCAACCTAGGCGAAACGAAGGCGAAAAAAAAGGAACAACAACTGTGCTGCACAATCGAAAGAGTTGATTGAGCGCAAAGAGCGCGCCCGATCAGCTGCTGAGCAACAACAAGAGAGCAATTGCAGCAGAGAGAGAGAGAGCGCCCCTCACACACGCACACACACACGCACCCACACAGACACAAGCTAACTTGCGCGCACACGCACACGCACACACACTTGCGCAAAATAGGCAGGCGATAATAAACGGCTAAACAACGGCGACATCCCCAAAGAAAATGTTGTAAGCCGCTGCAGCAGCATATAAGCAACGGCAAAAGAAGCAGCAGAGTGGACGCCAACAAAAACGGCTAACAACAGGATTGGTGGCGGCGGCGGCGGCGGCGGGGTGGCACGCTGTGTCGTTGCACGCCCACACCCGCACCCAAAGCCACAAACAACTCTGTGCAACCAGGCGCATGTCGCCAGCAGTTGGAGAAACCCAGGTAGAGTGCACACAAAAAAAAAAAAAACGTAAAATAAAATAGGCAACAAGCCGAGCAGCGATGCCGCCACCTGCGAACCGAAGGCGGAAGCTATTTGATTGCTTTTGCATGTCACTTTCACCTATCCGAACAACAACAACAACAACGAAGACGTGATCGCAGTGTGTCAGTGGGGTGTACAGACAGCGTGTGTGTGTGTGCGGGTACGGGCGCTAATTTCATAATCGCCACTTTAAGTTTATCTGCCTGCCTGCCTGCTTGCCATTTTATTGAATATGCCACTAACGTTTGCTCTCTTTTTCATTTTACAGTTACCGTCAACCCACCGCCCCAACGGCCATGGCTGCCGCTCGCCAAGCCCAACAAATCGCGACCAGCCTGTAAGTAACTGTAAATCATACGATAAGATATAGGCGAAAAATAGGGTTATTTGAAAGCTCTGGCAAGTGCAATTGTGTGTGTAAGCGACTGCGACAGCTTTTAACCCACATTTTTTCATCCCGTAGGAGCTTGTTCTTAATTCGATTAGGGTAACTTTAAAACTGCAGAAGATAAACATATTTTTTTTTTATAAAACAGTCGATGCAATTATCTGTCATGTTGTCTCTTACGAGTTGATCTCAAGGCCGACAAATAAAATGTACCATATACTTTTATGGGATATTTTAGATGAATTTCTGTTAATTGCTGTGTAGCTGTTATGTTATTTCTGTTTAGCTCTGTTATGTTATTGTCTGTTATTGTAAGATGGAGTTCTAAATTCTGTTAGGCTGTTTAGCAGTTATGTTATTTCTGCTTAGCTGTTATGCTATTGTTGTTATGTTAATTTTTAATCGCATTTATGAAGAATTATCCAGAGTAACTTTTTGCCGGCCTCACTCCTTTCGCAAGTTATATATATATATATATATATATTATTTTAGACATGGTGCTAAAGTTAGTATGGGGGTGGGTTTAATAAATTTAATGGCAATACTTGAACTAGTTACAGGATAATTTTTGGCCTTGCACAACAACTGTTAATACATTTTTGTTTATCCTGCAGGCATATTTACGGTGATGTGTTACAATGTGCTCTGCGATAAATATGCGACGCGACAAATGTACGGCTACTGTCCGTCGTGGGCCTTGTGCTGGGAGTATCGGAAGAAGTCAATTATCGACGAGATACGGCATTATGCGGCGGACATAATAAGCTTGCAGGAGATCGAAACGGAACAGTTTTATCACTTTTTCCTGCCCGAACTGAAGAATGATGGCTACGAGGGCATCTTCTCGCCCAAATCGCGCGCCAAGACAATGTCCGAACTGGAACGCAAATACGTTGACGGATGTGCGATATTTTTCCGAACATCAAAGTGAGTTCAGCTACAAAACAGATTCGAATCCGGTTTGAATAAAAGTACAATTACATTTGCTTGCAGATTCACGCTGATCAAGGAGCATCTGATCGAATTCAATCAGCTGGCCATGGCCAATGCGGAGGGCTCCGACAACATGCTGAACCGTGTGATGCCCAAGGATAACATTGGCCTGGCCGCTCTGCTCAAGGTGAAGGAAACGGCCTGGGAGCCAATGTCCGAGGTGACACAGATCTCACAGCCGCTGCTCGTGTGCACCGCGCACATCCACTGGGATCCCGAATTCTGTGACGTCAAGCTCATACAGACCATGATGCTGAGCAACGAGCTGAAAACGATAATTGACGAGGCCAGCCACAGCTTTCGACCCGGCCACAAGAATGACTCGAACAGCGTGCAGCTGTTGCTTTGCGGCGATTTCAATTCGTTGCCCGACTCCGGCGTTGTGGAGTTTCTGGGCAAGGGGCGTGTTGCAATGGACCATTTAGACTTTAAGGACATGGGCTATAAGCTGTGCCTGCAACGATTGTTGTCCAACGATACCAACGAGTTTACGCATTCCTTCAAACTGGCCTCCGCCTACAGCGAGGACATAATGCCGCACACCAACTACACCTTCGATTTTAAGGGCATCATCGATTATATTTTCTATACAAAAACGGGCATGGTGCCTCTGGGCCTGCTCGGACCCGTATCCACGGATTGGCTGCGCGAAAACAAAGTGGTTGGCTGTCCACATCCGCACATACCCTCCGATCATTTCCCGCTGCTGGTCGAGCTGGAGCTGATGCACACCGCCAGCCAGCAGGCACCTCCCAATGGACTGATCAATCGACGGTAGCAATAGACACGGCGCGCTAGGCCAACGATAACGGTGACAACAACAACAACAACAACCAACATTCGGACGGCCTCTGGCAGCGGCGGAACGCTGCCGCAGTTCAGCTTTCGGGGACGCAGCAGCAGCGGCAACAGCAACAGAAACAACAGCAACAACAACAACAACAGTAACAACAACAACAGCAGCAGCAGCCTCCGCCCAGCTACACATGGATCATTTCGCAAACCTCCAAACAATCCAACATTGTGAGGAGCCCAAAAGCAGATATATTTTTCCCATCAATCATCAATGAGTGCGCCGCTCATTATTAATTCAGTTTATAGTTTAGTTCTGATTCTGGCTTGATTTCCAACCCATGAGTTCTAAGATGACGATGATGTTGTAGAGTGGATCCGCTACTTTGTGCGCTGGCTCCAAACCCCAATCCGTGAAACTATCACCAAGCTCATCTACCATCGATTATGCCATGGAGTAGGGAGAGGATCTATAGACGCGCACGAAGCAGCGGATAGGATCTGCACACACACACACACACACACACACACACAATTATCTTGCTGCTCTTACACGCCGCGTTTCTCGTTCTATTTTATCATTTTTAATTTCAGTTTTAGCATCGAATAAACTATATAAATACACATAATTAAATTACGTTCTTGTTGACGACAACATTATGATACATGTAGCATATTTCATAAGCTCTGACTAAAACACAACAAAACATAAACAAAAACAAAAAACCAAGCTATTTTTAAGTATAAAATGCAAGAAAAAAGTAACTATTTTGTAAAGAATAAGCAAAAACAAACACACACAAAACACAAAACAGATTCAAAAATACAATTGATGATAATTTTCGAAAATTGCCTTAATTCGCAAACAATATCTGGGCCACGTTCATAAATTAACCTATATATAAATAAATAAATAGACACGTTTAAGGAATAAATAGTACATAGTTGTTGTAGATCCGCGTTCTCAAACCCAATGTACATTCTGATTCATGCAGGCACACACACCCGAAACCTTCATAATATAACGAGATTTAAGCTCCATTTACAGTCTGCAATTTTGAACTAAGATGTAACAATAAGAGCCTAAGATAGACAGACAGAGAGTTGACAAGGACAAAAGATATATAAATATTTATTATACAATCTATATGAGAGCAGCAACAAATTCTAAATATTGTTAATCCAGCATAGTATCGTATAATCAAAGATCAACACCAAACGAGCAGCATACGTACAGTTTAAAACAAAAATACCAATTACAAATTTAGCAATAACTAACAAACAAAACGAAAAGTGCATTAAGATACAAAATGATAAATCGGTTTGACAGCAAAAATATTGAATATAAAGTGTATAAATACAGACAGAAATCAAATTCAGCAATTTTCAATCGTCTTGCGGCAAAACTCTGTTAAATGAATAACAGATACAAAAAATAAAAAAAGACTAGATTAAAAAGCAAACAAACAATTAAGAAAACGTTTAATTTAATATATATATAAAATGCTGCTTATAGCAATTTGTCACAAAGTCTTTCCAACTAGGTTGAGATCTGCTCCGTCGTCTGTTCGGGCTCTGTGGCCAGTGGAAAGGCGTCACCAATAGCATTTGCTGCATGCAGCTTGCTATGGATAGCTCCCCAGAGTTGGGGATTGCCATGCTCCAGGGTCGACATGTTGCCCATCATGTAGAGCGCCCAGCGGGCACGCGATAGGGCGACACAAACGCGATTTGACTGACGCAGAAAGCCAATCTGTCCAGCCGGATTGCTGCGCACCAGCGACAGCAGCACAATGTTTGCCTCCAGGCCCTGGTAGCTGTCCACAGTTGTAACCAAAATGTTTTCGATCTTGGCTTTTCTCAGCAGTGCTTTAATATGTTCAACTTGAGCATTGTAGGGCGTTAGAACGACAATGTTTTTGCGTTCCCCTTTCAAGCTTGCAGCTAGTTTCACCAACTCCTTGGCCTCGTGCTTGTTCACAAAGGACATGTCGTTCTGTATGGAAAAAATAATAATGGAAAACTTAATTGCAATCATGAGTACGAAATGCATTTTAGCCTACCAGCTGCTGCTCGGGTTGCACGTGACTGACAAAGTACATGTTGGCCGACATGCCGGACACATTGCGGTAGGCTCTCACCGAGTCGTCACTGATCAATTCGTCATAGAAAATGGGCACCAGGAGCTCAGCAATACAGGTGCGCATGCGATACTGGACATTAAGCACGCTGGCGGGAAACTTGTGCGTAATCAGACGCTCGAAGAGCGACACCTGCAGCCCCTGTTGCGTATAATTGCCCGTATGCGGCTGCAGTTGCTTGTGATCGCCGATCAGTATGACGTGCTGCGTGTAGGGCGTTAGGCAGGCCAGCACATGGGATTCAGCTATCTCGCCGGCCTCCTCAAAGATGAAGCACTTGCTCTGCAGCAGACGGAACAAAAAGTTATGCCGTGCCGCGCACGTCGTTGTCATCGCCAACAGAGCTTTGTCACGTGCCAGATAAAACTGAAATATTGTGCGCAAGGTGTTCAACTTTTCCGTCACCACATGCAGCTGTTCCAATTCCGATTGGATTTTCACATGGGCCGACTCGCTGCCATCGAAGTCCGCATGCAGAGCCTGCAGTCGCTTGAACTGTTCCCTGTACTCACACTTGGCCAGCCACCAAAGGTGCTTGAGGCGCGGCGGCACCAACTGATCATCGGACATTGTTCGCACATTGAATTGCTCGATTTGGGGCATACGCGACTGAAAGCCAAAGCGCAGAATGCTGCTCGTGTGCTGCGCCGCCTTCAACAGGAACTTGTCCAGCGAGTCGTTCGTGTAGGTCAGCACAATAATGGGTCCAGCGCCAAGCTGAGCGGCATTCTGCAGCAGCGTCTTGACCAGCTCAACGGACAGATGCGTCTTGCCTGTGCCGGGCGGGCCTTGTATCAGGCTGAATTCCATGCAGAGCGCAGCGCCAAAAGCCGCTCGCTGCGAGTCATTCAGCTTCGTCTCCACGGGCGGCTTAGCTGCCGTAAATGGCTTGCCATTATGCATTAGCTGAACGTCTGGTCCAATGTAGGCGGGCGGCCGTACATCAAGCTGTCCTTCGACAATGTACCGGCACATGGGAAAGTTATCGGCGCTGCACGTGCTCAGATAATTGTGGACACGCAGATACGGCTCAAAGAACGCCGGCGTCTCGAACATGATTAACGGCCTGCCGTATATATTGCCAATATTGTATTGTTTGGCAATCTCCACGCTTAACTGAAACATATCGAGTTTTATAAATAGTTCAGAATATAGAGGGTACAACGTCTTACATATCCTTGTTTTATCATACTGTCCTCTGTCATTCCAACGGTGGCCAATATTAAATTGTCAAAATCATAGCTGCTGGTAAAGCACAGTAAGGCGCCCGTCTTAAGATTTCGCAGGTATTGTTGTTCTGCCCGTCCGGCCGAATACGATTTCCATAGTTCGTTTTTTTCTAGCCGTTCTGATGGACGTATATCTAGAAATATCAGGCTATTCCGCTCCGCTTCGGCAAATTCGGGGTTCAGGTTGAGCTGTGTGTGCGGCCAAACCAGATTTTGTTCCACCAAAGCATCGATATTCTGCTTGGAACGCAAACGCTGCACGAGCTCACGCAGTGGCTGCACAAAGTCATCGCAGAGCAGCTGCCGTTGGCAGTTTATGTAGCCAGCCACGTCATCGGAGGCAACGGCAGGCACATCATCCCCGGCTTCAGCTCGCAGTAATTGCTCCAGCTTGGGATATATTTCGTTTTTGACATGTGTACTGGCGGGCAGCACATCCAGCTCTCGTCTGAATTCAACGCACAGCGGATGGTTCAAGAGCTGAGGCAGCTGACAGCGGGAGAGCAGCGTCTTAATATACTCGATTAGCTCATATCCAGACGGTTGCAGCACGCCCAGCTTGTGGGCACGTATGAGCAAACACTTAATGCCGCGCAACAACGACTCGGAGTCGGCATCTATTTGGCCCTTGGAAGGCGGCGCAAAGAGTTTCACAGCAAAGCGCTTGACGTGATTCAGGAGCACCGTTTGCCTGGCAAAGCCGGACAGTATCTGCCAATCGAAACCGCCCAATTCCAATTGGCACAGCACCGTCAGCACTTCCACATACTGCATCACCCGTTTTGGGGAATCGCTGTCCGTCAGCTGATCCTGGAAGAGATCGCGCGGCGCGGCCATTAAGTAGAGAAACATATCCAGCGGCGGCATTTTCAGTGCCTTTGCAAAATCGGCAGTGGCAAAGCGACTCGGACTTTTCGTATCCCCAGTAACCGTAAGTTGCTTGAGATAATCATCTAATGTTGTTATTAAAAATTGCATTCTATAATAAAAACCCGCATATTATTTGCTTACCAGCTCGGCTGCAAAAGTCAATGCGTTCCTCGTGTGTCTCAATTGCCACTTGTTGCTTCACCTGTTGCTGCAGATTTTGCACCAGCTCATCCTCATCCTTGTTGAACCAATCATCATCCGAGTCCGACATGATGAAATTCTTTGCCTACGTTGCGTTTGCACTGCGCAAATTAAATGAAAGTCCCGTTTTATAAATGCATGGTTAGAGTTGCCAAACGCCTTTGCTTTGGTAAGATAAAAGAGATGTGCAAGATTTTAGTACTAGTGTCCGATGGGAAGTATTTTTCGAGTAGTTGATGCGAGCGATAGTAGATTTTCAGAATTAACTTTTCAACTGAATTTTTGTCATTTTATTTAATAGCAGTTCTTGAACTTCCACTCAATTTAAGAAATTAAGTTTTTAAATCAACTGCAGATTTAATCTTGTATTTACAAATATAATAATTCTTCGCACCGATTCGGCCCAAAAGCAATATTTTGCCTCATCCGCAACTTGGTCACACTTTGCGGTATTTGTGGCGATCTTTCGATTTGTGCGCGAAATAAATAGGTTACATATTGATAAACTTTTGTATTTAAAAATTGTTTATTATATAGTATAGTACGGCAGCTAAAAGCTGAAGAGCGCACATCACTCAGCCAGTTCACGTGTCAAGTAATTAAACCAAATATATATCTTTTTTGGCAGCTCATAAATAATATTTACTTCTGATATCATCATGCGCTTCTCTATGACGTTTCTAAACAGGGGAATACCAGGAAATTTATACTATCGGACACATTATGGTTGAGCTTTTCGGAGAAGATTACGACTGTTGGGAATGGTTTCAGGCTGATAAAGAGAAAATCCTGCGCAGCTTAACGCGCAAAAAAGCTACCGACGGGCGTCAGGTGCAGATAAACAGGCGATATAACTGCTGGAACCGTGCCAAGGCGGCGGCGCCATCTAAAATTCCCACCGATGGTCTGCAGGAGATCTTTAATCTACAACCTTTGGGCATGTTCCTCTACCTGGCAACCGAAGTGGAACCGAACTTTTTTGTCGATCAAATCGGGCCACACGATGATATGGAGCGCGTGCTAATCTATACACGCATCCTGGTCACTTTATGTGAACTGGAGCTGCCGGGCTTTCACTATGATATGCTGAGCAAGTTAGCGGCGTGCACGCCGCTCATCGAGCACTATGAGGAGCTGGTGCGAAAACTGTGCACCAAAAGCTTCCGCACCATGTGGACCGACATGAAGCGCGTCGATTGCACCATTAGCCATATGCAGACGCTGTTGTTGCAGGCTCAACGCGCTGGCGTCATGGACAAAAATGGCATGCAGATACTATTCAATATTTGGACACACTTGAAGAACAACCAGAACCCGATCATAGAAGAGCGTCCGATCTGCATGGAGTTTCTGCATCAGTTGCACGGCCTGTTTAGTGTTGATCTGGATGTGCTGGCTGAACCGAATCCTGCCGCCGAGGTAAACGCTCCATTTCCATTGATTTCAAACAGTGTCTAATTTAAATGGTTTTTAGTTATATCCCAGCCTGGAGGAGCTCAGACTGTGGCTCAAGCAGCACGAGGATGCCTATCTCCATGCCCCAAAGCTAACGATCAGCTACATAAGCACCACGCAGTACATAAATAGTCAACGCTTGTTTTTGCGTCAGCAGTTTTTGCTGCCGCTGCGCGAGTTGGTGCGCGTTCTGCATCGAGAGCGCAGCCTGCAGAACGTGACGCCGCTCCAATTGGCCTATGAGGAGGTGCAGATCAAGCTGAATATGCACTTCCCGGACGCCCATAGCAGCAAGCTGCTGTTTGTTGATCTTTTGGCTGCGCAGCGCAAAACGGCAGCCGATCACGATATCCAATTCGGCAACTCGGAAGAGGAGTCTCTGCTAAAGCTCAAAACTGGTGCACTACTCTGTTTCAGCACAAGCTACGATTTCGACAATCTTATACTGGCCACGGTGGCTGGCACGGATATAAAGCAGCTGCGTCGCGGTTACGTGAGTGTACATTAAATTAAACTAGATATTTGTATATATATTTGCTGTCTTTCAGATTGCGATCACTATAGTGCGGCAGTTTAATATAGGCAACATTTATGGCAAGTCGTTGATCATGTTCGAAACGCCCGTCTACTTTGAGCCCTACCAGAAGGCGTACATCTACCTGACCAACAGCAATGTTATCAACTTTCCGATGTCCGATTATATAGTACATGGGCTGACGAGAACGCAACCGCCAGCATATTTGAATCACACACAGCCGCCGAATGTCTACGAGAGTCAAAAGTTTGTGAACAAGCTGCGCAAAATGCCGCTAAATCTATCGCAGCACGATGCCTTCCAAAGTGTGCTGAATACGAACTTTAATCTAATCCAAGGTCCGCCAGGAACGGGCAAGACGCATCTCTCATTGCAGCTGATAAAGACGATGTTGGAGCATGCCAAATTCTGTGCGCCCATTGTTGTGATTACATACACCAACGATTCGCTGGATAAGTTTCTGCTGAAGCTAAGCTCCTTCACCAGCAGCATAGTACGCTTTGGCTGTCAGTCGAGACTGCCGGAAATTGCCAGGTTCAATGCACGTGCCGACACAAACATGCACATGATAAATCCTAGACTAAAGCGTCTGTACTGGATGGTGAATCTGGAGATCAAGGAGCATTTCAAGCGCCTGCAGACACTGTATGCCGCCTTCAATGACAGCGATAAGGCCTATACGGATATTCTGGCGACGCAGCGTCTCGTGTGGAATGCGCAGGAGAAACTCAATTCCATACGAATGATATTCCAGCACTATTTGATTGTTAAAAAGAACGTGCTGGCGATGACGACCACGTGCGCTGCACGCATGAATTTTGTCTTTCGCTTTCTTAAAAGTCGCATTGGTAAGGGAATCAAAAGCAGCATCACAATTACGTATTTAATTGGTTTCATTTTAGTCATTTTTGAGGAAGCCGCAGAAATTTTGGAAGCGCACATATTGCCCTGCCTGACACCCTACACGGAGCACGTCATTATGATTGGCGACCACATGCAGCTCAAGCCCTATATAAGCTATATAAAGGGACTGAAATATTCAGCTATCTGTCAATCCTTATTCGAGCGTTTGATACGCTCAAATTTCCAAGTGAACGTATTGAATATTCAATACCGTATGCGTAATACCTTTGCCGAATTGCTGTGTCCCCTCATATATCAGAAGCTCTTTAGTCATGAGTCCGTGTATAACTTTCCTCCTGTTCGCCATATGACAAAGAATCTGTATTTTCTTCAGCATCAGGAGCCTGAGACACATATCTATGATGGCTTTCTATGCAACGATTGGGAAACGCAAAAAGTGTCTGAAATAGTAAGCCATTTGATAGACGTCGGCGGCTACAAAGGCAAGGAGGTCGTGGTGCTCACACCCTACACCATGCAGGTCGAATCCATTAAAAAGAGAGTAAGGCATGGATTACTAATTATCTGGTGATATATTTATTCGCCCTTCTACTTTGCAGTTATCGAAGACAAAGCATTTGAAAGATGTTGGCATTACCACAGTTGATAGTTTCCAGGGTCTGGAAGCGGATATAGTTGTGCTCTCGCTGGTGCGCAGTAACACACATGGAAATATCGGATTTCTGTCTGAACAGAATCGTATTTGTGTCGCCATGTCCCGCGCCCGCTATGGCCTCTATATCATTGGCAACATGAAGATTCTATCGCAGAAATCGCCTACTTGGCGCGAAATACAGAATAAGCTAAGGCAGCAAAATGCTATAGGCGAAGAATTCCCCTATAAGAAAATGATGTGAGTGCCATTAACAGCTCTACATTGTAAATAATGTAAACTACATATAATATTAATAAATATAATCATGTTCTTGTTTCTCTTGTAAAGCTCTGCATGTATTGAAAATTGTTTCTCTTTATCGTTAAGTCTACATGTTGATAAAAGTTATATTATCAAAAATTATATTTACCCACACAGGAAAAAAAACCCGCTTTCTTATTTGAAAGTGCGAAATTTGCGGTTTGTTCTGTCGATCTGCATGAATGCAAACCAGCTTGACTTGAAATATACTGAAATGAGCGCACGCGCATTGTCAGTATTCTCATCATATTCAAGATTGGTCACACTTTCCGTGCAAAATGTTGGAATATTTTTAGTGCTGTTTTATGAAATGTATATACAATTAAAACACAAAGTTAATTCGAATAGATTACAACGATTAAAAAGCTAATCAAATACAACGTAAGCATAAACAAAACTTAATTTCAATTAATGCATCTGAATATGCCTAGCACGGCTGGTAAACAAAAATGCCCGCGCATTTTATTGTAATACCGTTTGTAAACAGACGAATGTAAACGCGAATTTATGTTTTTATATGTAGACAAACCAAAGATGGGTCGCAGTAGAATTCGAAAGAAACAATTATCCTCAGGATCGGAGAGTGACGTTTCGCCTACGCCTCCGAAAAATAAGAAATCTAGGCGCAGCGCAGAAACCAGCGAAGAGGATGGAATGATTGTGGAAGCGTCTACTTCGCGCGCGGTTCACAGGCGCGCAAACGGGAATGCAAGCTCTTCCTTCGAAAATCCCTCGGTAACTCAATGTTTTATATTCATTCTGCTTAAAATCAAACACTAGCTTATTTGTTATAGCATGGACTGACAGCTCGAAACGCATTCCAGCGTTGTGGGAAGATCATTTCCATACGCTTAAGAAATTTTATGTGCCACTCGAATTTATACATCAACTTTGGGCCACATATCAATTTTCTTGTTGGCAGCAATGGCAGCGGCAAAAGTGCCGTGATCACGGCCCTTGCATTAGGGCTAGCCGGCAGTGCACGCAACACAAGTCGCGCCAGCAGCATACAGAGTAATTTGCCCAATCGCTTACCCAAGAGGAATACATACTAAAACTAACCATTATCTTTTGTCAGAGCTCATTAAAAATGGGGAGACAAATGCATCCATTGAGCTAACCCTGTGCAATACGGGACTGCGGCCATTTAGGTACGACGTTTACGGTCCACACATTACGGTTGTACGCCAAATACGGCAATCATCCTCGACGTATGAGATGAGAGACGCTCAGAACAGATGCGTTTCCAAGAAACTGGACGAAATACGACGCTTGCTGCTTTATTTTGGCATAAGTGTTGAGAATCCGATCTTTGTGCTGAATCAGGAAGCTTCGCGCGAATTTCTCAAAGAGTGGGTGTACTTAATTGCGAAAGTTAGAATTCAATTTAAAATATGAAACCCTATCCCACAGCCTAGAGCCTGCATCGAACTATAAATTGCTTATGAAGGCAACGCAGCTGGATTTATGCGCGGCCAGCTTGACCCAATGCCACGAACAGCGCGAGCATATTAACTATGATCTGGAGCTGCTCAAAAAGGTAAATCTTCATTTGAAAAAACCAATACCCATAAATAAATAATTACTTTAACTGCGCAGAAAAAGGAAAAGTTGAAGAAACTGTGCCACGAAGAAGAGGAAAAGTTGGCATTAATTAAAAATAAAGAGGCAATTAAGGTAAGACGGCATGTCTCGTAAAGAACTATAAAGTAAAACATATTTTCTCTAATGTAGATTCAATTAAAAGAGGCTACAACCATGCTGGCTTGGCTAAAAGTGACCAAGATACAGGATGATCTGACAAAAATGGAACACACACTTAAAATAATTGAGAAGAAAAACGCAGATTTGTCGCAGAAAACAACGCAGAAGAATAGCACACAGTTGGCACTTGCCCAGCAGCTCGAGTAGGTAAAGCAATTATCTTAATTTAACATATTATAAATAAAACGTATTCATAGGCAAATTGAGGAAACCAAACAGCGAATTATGGAAAGTCACCAGTCGCAGGAAACGAGGCTTCGGGCGGTCAAGCGAACAATACAAGATTGTCTCTATAAAGCCAGTTCAATTAAAGCAGGAATTAAAAATGTAGAGAAACGTCTCAGGGAGGAACAAACTACCTACGAGGGCTGTCAGAGGCATATGAATAACTATCACGAAGATTATTCAGAAGTGAAAAGGCTGCGGGAACAGAATGCTGCTACGCTAGCCACTCTCAAAGTAAAGGTGGCTGAGAGTAATGAGCTGATCTCCAGGCTCAGGGACGAACAGAACAGTACAAAGAATCGAATGCCTGCCACGATAGAGCAGGTAGAGTCGGTGAAAAATGAGCTGAGCAAACTGCGAAAAACTGAGCGTACGTACAAAAATGCCTGTAAATAATCCAAAACAAAAGTTAATATTGATTGAATTGTAGAAAGCCTGCAATGGGAAATGGAATCGCTGTTGCGCAACAAATCAAACAAAATGTCCGTTTATGGTGAGCACGCAATGCAAGTGGCCAATGCGTTGCGTGTTCAGTACAGCGGTAGCAATGCGCACAAGATGCCGCGTGGACCTATTGGCATGTACATAACTGTGCCAAATCCCAAGTATCGAGATCTGATAGAGAATCAACTGGCTCATTGTCTGCGCTCGTATATCGTAAGCACCGACAAGGAGCGTGTATCTCTGAGAGCTCTGCTGCAAGAATCGTATGCGGGCGGGAATATACCGACTATTATCACGAGTGCGTTTTCAAACCGGGTCTACAATGTATCGAAGTACAAAGTGCAAAACAGGTCGTCAAATACGACCGTGCTGATGGATGAGATTAGGTGAGTTTTTAAAGAGTTTAAGCATAAGAAGCTTAAGTAAACAGTTATTTTTATTAAAAGATGCGATGATCCTGTTGTAATGAACTATCTTATTGATACACTGCGCATTGAGACGGTCTTGGTTACCGATTCCAAGGAGATAGCCGAATCGCTTACCTCGAACTCGGAAAATGTGCCACCCAATTTAACCCGCATATTGGTGCCCAATTTGGGGCTTGAGTATTCGCCATCGCCCAACTATGCCATGTACTCCATTAAAATCACGCCTGCGCGCTTCATTCAGGTGAATGTGGATGATCGCATTCGGCAGCTGAAGACAGAGCAGGAAAGTCTTCGAGAGCGTGCAGCAATCCTTCAGACAGTGTATGTCAAAGCTAAGCAAAAGCTGGACAGTGACGCAAAGGAGATAAGCACCAAAAGTAACATGATTAATGCACATCACACAGAAAACACAAAAGCGTTGCAAAGAATTATGGATATCGAAAATTTCGAATATCGCGAATTACCCGCTCTTGATGTGCTGGTAAGTCCAAAGCTGGTCCAAAGCTGTTTCCCCTCAAACCATTCAATCTTCTTTTATTCTATATTTTTAGGAAACTCACTTGACGACCAGCGGTGCGAAGATCGAGAAATGTAAGGAGGAGCGCCAGGTCTTGGAAAGTCAACTGCGCGAAATCGACGAGCGTAAAACTCAAGCTGACGAAGAAGCTAAAGGCGAACAAATTATACTCGATGGAATTAATAAGAAAGTAAGCGAAATTGACACGGCATCACAGGAATTACAACGTAAAGCTCGTGACTTAGACCGACATTATGAGGAGAACCAACGACGTTTTAAGCAAACTAACGAGCTACTTAAGTCAATGCTGAGAAACAAAGAAGATCTGGAGGAAGATTTAGAAAAGGAGCGCCGCGAGGCACAGAAAGTCGGTGACTTTATCGAGACAAACAAATCTGAAGAGAGAATTCGTGATAAAATCAATCGATATAAAGCAAAGATAAAGCATTACGAATCGATGAACTTAAACAGCAAGGAAGTAGAACATAAGTTGTCCACCTTGCTTGATAAACTTAAAACAGAAACTGAAAATTTGGAGAATATCCTATGTGTTGTAGAGAAATTACGCATCGAATACCATACTCGGGCACAACGATTTCAGCGATCGCGATATCATTTCTTTACCATGGTTCAGTTTCAGTTCAAGGTAAAGTTCAATTCAATTGAACAACTTAAAAAATCACTTTATAAATTTCTTAAACATGCAGCAAGCACTTGTCTGTCGCCAATTTGAAGGCAGCCTGGAACCGAATCATAAGGATAAAACGTTGCAGATCAGCGTCTTCCCGCCCAGCGGGAACAAGACATCGAATACGAGAAGTTTGTCCGGCGGAGAAAGGTCCTTTACCACGGTGTCCCTGCTGAAAGGCCTTTGGAGCACTTCCGATCACCCATTTTATTTCTTGGACGAATACGATGTATTTACTGTAAGTTCACGTTGCACGTTTTATTCACACAATGGACACTTGATTAAATTTTGTAAATTTATAGGACGAAGTTAACAGAACTTTTATAACTAAACTGCTTATTCAAGAGGGCACGGATTTTCCAAACCGACAGTATTGTTTTCTTACCCCACAAGATACGAAAGTCGATGCGAATCACTTAATAACAGTGCATAAGTATGCAGTCTTGCATTTTTCTTTATATACGAAGATTAACCAATTTATTGTCTTTACTCTTATTTTAGATTGGAAGCACCAGAGCATTAATTTCAAGCTAATTTTCACTAAATTTGTTGCTGGACGACTGCTCTAAAAAAAACATTACCATTTATTTAACTTAGGCATGTTAAATGTTATTAAATAAACGTAAATTTTCTTAAAAATGTTTTCAAATTAGTTTCTGTAAGGCATTCAAAATAGAAAATAAAAATAAAATTGATACGGCAACTCTGAATTTACAATGGTGGTGCGCCGGTAAATAATGCGCATGATACGTTCAAGCTGAATGACAAGCAGGCGCATGAGAACGATACGAAAATACCATGTGTATTTTAAAATTTTATTTATTATTTTGCATATTGGCTTTAATAAGTTAAAATGTATGTATATATGAATGTTTATTTGTGTGTTCCATTGTTGTTGTTTCACAAGAACTACGAGTGATATGTGGCATCATACAGTCTGAACGTATGTTGGCCACCCTAACAAATAACCTAAAAGCTGGGCCAGAGACACGGCAGCTCTGAAATTTATATTATTATTTTGTAAATTAATTTAAAACCCAGAATGAGCCGCAACTACAAAGAAGATCAGGCCAATGAGGTCGAAGCGCTGGATTCCATATATTGTGGTGAAATGGAAGGTAACTCGCATGTTCTTCTTGTATTTCAATATAATGCAAATATTCCTTTTGCAGTTCTACAAACAGAGCCTTTCCACAAATTCCAAATTCCTATTGCCACAGAGGAGTACAATGCCGATGCAGTCGAAGAGAATGAAAAGGGTTTAGCGTGCAAGCTTGTGTTTACGTATACAGCAACATATCCAGATGAAGCTCCGCTAGTGGAAATTGAGGAAGGCGAAAACTTTGAAGACAATTTCGAGGCGCGGCTGCTGGAACACTTGCGCCAGACAATTGACGAGAACATCGGCATGGAGATGGTGTTCTCGTTGGTGAGCAGTGCACAGGAATGGCTAAATGTGCAGTGGGACGAGCACAAGAAGACCCAGGAGGATGAACGGGTGCGCAAGGTTCAAGAGGTCGAAGAAGCGGAAAGAAAGAAATTCGAAGGCACACGCGTGTCTGTCGAGACATTTATGAAATGGAAGTTGGACTTTGAGGAGAGCACGGGCATTGCGGCAAAACGGGAGAAAAACAATGATTGCAAAAAGCTGACGGGCCGAGAGTTATTCATGTGCGACAACACATTGAACGATTCGGACATCAAATTCCTGTTGGAAGCCGGTGAAAACATTGAGAATGTTAAAATCGATGAAACACTGTTTCAAGATATTGGTGAACTGGATTTGGATGACGACGACGATGAGGATTGGGTGCCCGGAGCTGATGACGACGATGATTAAGCAGTGCTGCGATATTACAAATAAAACTCATATAAGGCATACTTGTGTATTGTAAAGAAATGGCCTAACACAATGGGTTCTCTATAGTTTTACAAATAAAATGCTAGCGTGTTATCAATCTAATCCGTTCGGATTTTGCAAACTCATTTCGGATAATTTAAGTCCGTAGCTTTGAACATTTTGAATGTCGTCCAAGTCGAAAAACTCTTCGTCACTGTCATCGTTTTGCTCTGCATTTGGGTTAATTTGGGCAGCATCTTTCTTTACTGCTGGCAGCACATCACGTGGCAAATTAAGTTTTGGCCATGATCCTGGTTCTAGTTTTGGCAACGTAATCTCCACCTTAGTGCCAAACATTTGCACAGAAGCTGTTTGTACATTGATTATCTAAACAAACAGAAGGGTCATTTATACAAGTTGGGGACATAATAGAAAGCATTCGATCTTACACCACGCAGTTCTAGGTCCAACTCGAACTTGGCATTCTCCTGTTCTGGAAAGACCAGCATTACGTGCAGGCGAATTGGATTCACTTCAACGACGCTTTGTGCGTAATGATATTTTTTGGCATAGACTGCGACAACAACATTCGTAGCCGTCTGATGCCAATCGTATCGGCATTGAACGACCTGTTTGTCTTCGTCCTGCAGTGAATCAATAGATTGTTAGAAAATTGCCGGGTGCAGTGTTCGTATGACTTACGTCTTTAACAAATTTATGTTGACCGTAAACACATCCTTTCTGGGCCATGAACTGCGCAAAATCGGAGGTACGTTTCTGACAGCATGACCAAAATTTCATGCCCTCATGGAATATGGGAACGCCAGGATGATAAGTGCACTCGCCAAAGTCGCTGCTTGTGTTCGTGTAGGAGTAAGTGCAGCCATTGTTTTTGCAGCTCGTTCCCACAGCAACATTCCTAATATATATGTATATATAAAATATCATTCAATGAAAGCACAAAAGAGATCGCAAGTACCCTTCGCTGCCTGAACTTGCAGCTGGCGCGGCAACAGTGCTGACTTTTAAAGCATCAATGGTGTCCTTCAATGCAGGCGCTACTTTTGGCTCCAGCACAGTAAATGGCGTTTCAATAGCTGGCCTAGGCAGAGATTCCCTAATAGGAGCTCGCACTTCAATTTCCATAGTCTTATCCTCATCCTTGTCATCCTTGGCTGGCTTCTCTGGTTCGGGGGGCTTAATGTTTGAATGTTTCGCCAAAGTGCAGCCTTTGATATTGAGGAATTCTGTGAAGTCCACCGACTTTTTACTGCAACATGACCAGCCTTTGTAGGCATCGTGGAAGAATGGCGCACCCGGATGATGCCGGCAAGATTCTGTGCAAAACAACGTGCTGTTAGTTCTTTATTATTTCTTGCTTAGAAGTTTTACTTACCATCAGTATTGGTGGCTGGATCAAAAAGTTGGCCGCAACCTCTGTTATAACATTGTTCCATTTTTGCCTTTAATATATTACAGTTATTTTTGGTTGCTTTGGTCTAGAATATTCGCATATAAGTGGCGGAGTGGAGGCAAGCCGATAAATAGTCACGGAGGCTGCCAACTCGATAACAAGTAAACAACACTATCGACAAGTGGCCGAGTTAAGTGTTGAAAAATGTCAGCATGCCGTCAGAAACGGTTTTTTGATTTTTTCAACTTGGCTTAGAACAAACAAACCTGTATTTAGAAGCCATATGATTTGAGGGTTTAGAAAGGCAGCTTGTGAGCAATTAAAACGGAAATTACCGAGCTCATTCGAAAGGGTCTTTAAACTGTTCGGTATGCGGCACTTGGAGACCGAAACCGGAATTAAAATACAAATCAATTAATGCAAATGTAGTGAAGGTCAGTTCGGTTTTTGTCTACGTGAGCAATGCACAGGATTTGCTATACGAAACACTCAGAAAGGTGTGTGTGCTGACAAATTGTGAGTCATGTAGCAAAGCTAATTAAAAACGGGAATGCTAACGAATTGAAACTTAAGACTGTGCTGGAGTAGGGCCAAGCTGGTGGCTTAATTTGCTCCAAGGCTCAGTTTCATATTATTGTCTTACGTCGTTCTGCATATATACTGTATCAATATGGGTAAAACATTTGAATACGTGGAGCTTGCTGTTAAGTTTCATTTATTGCCCGCGGCGACAAGACATTTATTTTGCTTGCGTTCAGCAAATTGTCATTTTATTGAAAATTCTTGTGGTCAACAAGGTTATCAACGCCGTCGCGATAGCTGCCAACTGGCTGTGCTCTGACTGCAATTGGCCTTTGTCGTTATGTGGTTGCACTTAATACAAATTATGACAGGGGCCCTGGCGCCCGACCGTTCATCCACGATTTGACCAATCGAGTTTCGGGTGCAGTTGCTGCTGTGAATCATGCCGCGGACGCCGCCGCCGCCGCCGCTAATGATCTGCTTGGAGCTGTTGTTAGCTTTGGGGCATTGTTGTGCAATCGCTCGAGAATTGTGGACTTTTTCATATTTCGACGCTGCTGCTGCTGCTGCTCTGCGACTTCTGACAACTCTGCAAGACAAGCTCAAATAATATAAAGAAATATAAAAATTCGGAGCTTTAGTTGCCGTGTGTCCCAGTGTCAATGGAAATTAACACCGCAGGCACCGGCACTTGGCCCAAACTAGGCGTCCACGTAATTTAACATACAATGGCAAGCGGCGGCAACAGCGGCAACAACGGCAACAATAACGACACACTATGCAATTGTGTGCGGCGGCATGAAATGCTGTTGTAAAATGCAAAGGCACAGATTTCTTGCAATTCGCAGTGCTAACAACAACAACAACAACAACAACAACAAAGAAACTCAAACAGCAACAAGCAAATAAACATTCCAAGCCCGATGACGCGTATTCGATTCACACTTCATTGGCAGCTCCAGACTTCGGCTACGATTCTAGCTACTGTTTGTCGCTCGATAAGCATCGCTTGGGCTCAGCGTGCAGCTAGATAAATATATATATAACAAACAACTAATTATGCAACAATGAAAATAAAAACATAATATATCACAGCAGTGATTTGTTTGCTTAACGCTTGCGCGCTTTCAAGTTCGCTTCCTGAGTCTTTCGTTTTGTGCATGCATCAACAATTGCAACTGCAAACAGAAATATATATTGCTGCACAGTCGAGTGGCACGACAACGCACAAGTTAAACACAAATTGCATATTTTAGACATTTATTTACAACATTTTTAGATATTTTGCCTAGGCGCCTCATTAACTGACTACTTACACATGACTCGACTCTCGACTCTAGACTCTGCACCCCTGTCGCCTCAGAAGTATGTGTATCTCGTGCTGTACGGACTGCTGTAATAGTTGAACGTTGCGTACGATGTGTCCGGCGTTTGAAATGTGGTGCTGAAATATGTGGGATCCACGCCGCCAGCCGCCGCGGCCACAGCTGCCACTGCTGCAAATTGAGTTGAAAATAAATAAAGGAGCAGCACTTGTTGTGGACTTGGCATATTTAACGAGTGCGTTAACAAATTACAATTAATATGGTTAGTCTTGGGCGGGCGGGTGCACTTGAGATTAGTTGTGTTACTTTGGCTGCCAACTGGTAAATTCCAAGCGTGGGCGTCGACCGAAGGTTGAAGCGCTTCGTCAATCACCACGGCGTCAACAAGCTGGTCAAGTGTTTGGGCAAGTGTCCAGCTGCAATTGCTGCAATTTAGAATGGCCCGCTTAACGATTGGCCAGCGGCCACATATTTTAATGGTGGCGGGTGGGTTGTCAATTGTGGCCGCATTAAATGCTGCAGCAATTGGCCATTTATCTGGTCTAAACGCAGGCAGTCCTCATCCAGGAAGCGGACGCTGCGTGCAGCGAGAACTTTGGGCTTGCGAAATTAATTACACAATGGCCATTTGGCTGGCAATGCAGGTATTGGTCATTTGGCTACCGTTCGCCAATCGTGCATAAATTGTCAAATTGTAAAAATTATCTCAACTTAGTGTCGTTCGTTTTTGTTCGTTGTGAAATGTTTTTTTCCATGCATTGTCTGTCCCAGTCCTCCGGCTTGGCCCACTGCTCGCTTTTTGCTTGTCATGCGGCCAGCTAGGCTTAGTCGCAGCCGTAAACAAACAAAAAAAAAAAAAAACAGTTGCTCCATTTCGATTTTCTTTGCATTTCATGCCTCTCAAACGATATGCAAAAAACAAATGCCGAAAAAAAAACTAGCGAGAATGCACCGCTCGACTTGAAGATACTCTCTACTAAATACGAAACGATTTGGAATTCTTGCGGAGACGAAGTGTCTAGATGTGTCTACTTAAAGGGAACTTAGGTCAATAATTCACATAATTAATAATTATAATAATACTTCGATTTTAGTTGATGTAGCTTAAAAATGCTTTCTTACTTATCAATATTTGTATTTAAAGTATCGCACAATCTCGCTCTAAATATTTAAGCCCAATTGAAGGCAACCTATTCCTGTTATAAGAACATTAATTTCTGGTTTAAGCTATCAGATGTCCCTTTTAAAGATTGTTGCATACATTCGCTTCGCTTCATCATACCCTTTACACTGTTTTAATGTGTATAGGGTATAAATAAAGTTAAAATGCAAACTGCGAACATATTTTGCACAGCATTAGTCGCGCATATCATTGAGTATCTCCCCTCTTTCTCCCCCACTCTCTCTCTCTCCCCCTCTCTCTGTCTCTTTGCCCGTCCCTCTCCTTCAGTCTCCCCTCTGCCCCTTCAATTCACATACTCTATGCAAATGTGTATATGTGCGCTCATTGACTTTATAGACAGGCATAGACACATAGCCATATGGGGCTTAAGTCTCGATTGCCGCTGCAGCACCTGCTGCTCGTGGCCAAAACATTTGCTTGTCGTTAAAATTTGTTCATATTTCATTTTCCAGTGAGGTACTTAAGGCATCACAAGCTGCCCGCCCCCTGCCAAGGGGGGCTTAAGGGAATTAATTTTTTTTGTAATCAGAGAACAAGCATTTAAAAAAGCTGTCGAGTAGCAAAGACTTTTTCTTGATAGTTGATTGCCATTGCGGAGCCCTGTTTAGGGGTAGTATTAATAATATCATTAATATTAATATTATTAATTAATAAAATGAAAAGGGTATAATGTTTTTCGCCAAGAAGAAATTCTTTCCCATTGAGTATATAAATTATCAGTCAGGTCTTTCCCAGCTCGGAAACTAAAAGAGTTGCCGATTAAAAATATATATCCTTTATAGCATACGTTTCTCATTTTTTTCCAATATCTTCTATCATACTGATAAATATCCATTTCAAGACTTGGCTTAAACTGAACACAATTCTTAAGAAAAGGTCATTCAAGATAACGAAGATACGAACTGACTTACCAAATAATTTTGCATGATATTGTTTAAGCCTTTCTAACTTGATTCGAATGGAAAGGAAAACTGTTTTCTGGGTTATTTACAACAAAATTTACAGGCTTATAAAATGCTTTTCAATCGGGAGCTCAGTATATAAAATATTATATATGGAGACAATTGCAAAATGGATCTCAGTTCCGTGTCAAGTCATTGAGAAATCGAATTTTAGTCGAGTTTTGAGTTTGAAAAGATTTTTAAGCGATGTGCTGTATGAAGATGCAGCAAGTTGTGGCAACTGATTTCTTTTGTCCATATTTCAACATTCGATTTGGATTCACACCGAAAATCCCCCCCCCCCCCCCCCCCCCCCCCCCCCCCTGTCAAGTGCTCGTCCAAGCCCACAAGGTCTCGTCACCCTAACTTATATATATATATAATAATAATATAATATCTTGTGCCCACGCGAATGTGAAGTTGTCGTGAAGAGTGTAGGCCACGTCGTTGCGGTTGCTGGATTTGGATTTGGAATCGGTTTTGGCCGTGGCTGAGGCCGTCACAGTTCGGTTTGTGTCGCTGCACTTCAAAGCTGGCTTTGTTAATTAGACGCTTGTTTTGTGTGCACTTACAATAATTGCTACAAGAAATCATAAACATACTTGTACGATAATATCAAAAGCCAAAAGTGGTGCATTTGAATGTGAAACTGTGAAACTCAAAAGACTACAAAAATAATTACTCAAAACAAGTTGCATTTTTTGCCTGGAATTTTGTCTGTTTTGTGCGGCCGAAAGATGTCAAAGTAAAAATTAAAAAAAAAAAGTAAATCAAAATTGTAACATAAAAAAATACATTTGATATGGTAGACTTTGTTTTTTATTTATAATTTAGCTAGTTCTTCAACTAAAAATAATAATAATTTTCCAGTTACAAATTAAACAAAATAAAAATCATAAATTTCCAGAAAAGAACATAAATAATATAGAAAAAATAATTGGCAAAACAAAAATAAAAATAGCAAAACAGAAAAGAGAATAAAAACAAGTTGCATTTTTTTTGCTGAAATTTGTTTTTTTGTGCGGCCGAATAAAAATTAAATAAAAAGTTGAACATAAAAAAATACATTTTATATGGTAGAGTTTTTTTATTTATAATTAAACTAGTTCTTCAATTAAAAATTAAAAATTTGTAAGTTACAAATTAGACAAAATAAAAATATTTAAATTTCCAGAATAAAACATAAATTATTTATACACAAAATAATTGGCAAAATAAAAATAAAAACAACAAAAAAAAAGAAGGGGAATAAAAAGCAAAAGTAAATAAATTGATGTGTTTGCAATTAGTTAACAACAATTAAACTAAATAATAACTAATAAACTATTTTTTATTATAACATGTTATATTTGCTGTTATGTTAGTGTGTGTGTGTGTGGGAGTGTGTGTGCGTGTGTGTGTCTGGGTGTGCTGGGTTTTGGAGCGAATGGGCTGGGGCTGGGGCTGAGGTGCTTAAATTGAAGTTGGCTGCAATTAAGTGTGACGCGTATTTCCGTTTCCGGCGCTGTTTGGCATTGTGCGAGCTGTGTGCGTGTGTGTGTGTGTGCATATATGGCTGTGTGTGCTTGTGTGTGTGTGTGTGTGTGTGCAGTTAACCAAAGATTGTGCCTGTGAATTGGACGTGGGGTGGAGGGTACGTTAAAAAAAGACAATTATTCAACAAAACTAAAAAAAGACTTCATATTTAAACACTACTTCAATTGCACTAATAAAGCTTTAAGTGTGTGTGTGTGTGAGTGTGTGTGTGTGAGTGTGTGTGAGTGTGGATAACAATGGCCTAGGTTCTACTATTGTCTGAATGTATTACTTTGCTGAGGTGGCACAAAGCCAAAGCCGGAGGCGCCAACAACAACGCCGCTCGACTCCTCAATCGCATCCGGTGGTGAGGGGGGGAACACAACGGGTCCTGTAAAGGAAATACACAAAGATATAGAAACGAAAAGGCGTGTGAAATTATAATCTAGATTTAGGGTATTCGTGTGGCCAAACTTACCTCTGTTCTGACGCGGATCACGGATCTGCGCCGCCGAGGGCTGTGCCAGGGCCAAAGGATCGAAGGCGAAGCGGGATCGGCCGGGGAATTGTCCTAGAAAGTATTGCTGGCCAGCGGCAAAGGCCAGGCACAGGCACAGGGCAGCAATGGTGACTAACTGAAAAAATAGAGACATTGATACGTTTAAAAGCGCGCATGTTGGTAATATGCTTAAGTACGGTCGCGGCGATTAAACAATTGAAATGTGTGTCAATGCCAACACAGAGCTGAGCATATAGAAAACAATTAAGCCAACAAACAGTCGACCATAGAATGCCATTCAGCTGTACGCGATTCGAGCACGAGCCGAGTGCCAAGTGGTAAGTGCCAAGTGCCAAATGGTAAGTGCTCTATTCAGTTCTAAAAGCTGTCTCTTTGGCCATTTTTCATATGCAGCGCTTAACTGTGTAATTAGCGGCAATTGCACATAAACCATATCTTTGACAATTGCAAAAAGAGTTTGGCTTTAAATGCCAGTCAACAAATTTGCGACCGAGCTCTCGCTGTGCCAAAGGTAATTAAGATGATAAACGCCCCAAACATTTGAATGCGACGCAAAATTTGTAGCCTGGCTTCTCAACTGGCTCTTCCCACTTCATGGCAGCTGACTGGCTTTTCGCTCTTTACAAGCCAGACGAACGCATGCCGAAGTCGCGGCATGTTGATGCTGACGAAAGCCGAAGCTGAGAGTACATTATATTTTTAGATTTTTTATGCTCTTTCAGTTGAGAGAATATTTCTAGCCTGGCTTCTCATCTGGCTTTTCAGCAAGCTGAGGAGCCGAAGCTGAGAGTACATTCTATTTTAAGCCCTTTCGCTCTTTCAGCTGAGAGAGCGCAATATTACTGATTTCTTTTTTTTTGTTCCCTATTTTCAAAAAATCAAGCTGCAGAGTATCATCTTAGTGTTTGTATTGCCTCTGGCTGTGCTTTCCAAAGCTGACCCAATTCGCAGCAGCGCCAAATGCATCGAATCTAATGCTCTGATAAGCATACGGCCCGAGCTCGTTAAGCAGCTAAGATCTGCGCTCGTGGAAGCTGTGGCGGCATGCATCAATGGCCCAAATTGGCTCCGTGGCCATAAATATATATATATATATATATATATATATATAGTCGAAGTGCTGGCTGTCTGCAAGGCGCCTGAATTTATTGATTTCGCATTGAATGCTCGACAGGCCGGCAGCTCGGCAGCTTACAACTGTGCCGCAAAGTGTTGCGCGGGTGTTTTGTTGCATCTAATGTCTTATTAAAGGCCGTCACGCAATTGCGACAGAGTCTGGACACTAATCACAGGGCCGCAAAGACTTAATAGAACCGGGCTAACGAACGGGCCCGAATACGCTGCATTAAGTCCATATTTGTTTGCTTTATGGTCAGTAATCACACCTGTGCCCGCATGCATTAATATTGCCAAGTAATTGCCGCTTGCTTTTGCTTGAGTTTCATTTTTTATTTTCTGTTTGCCTTTGAAAGGTTTTTGCTTCATTAATTGCCTAATGGGCCGCGCCTGCAATCTGCATTGGACTGCAGGGCGTATGCGCAATATTTTGTGTTTCATGTTAATTTTGCAGACATTTTTTGTGGTTGTTGTTGTTTTTGATTTTTGTGCTACTGCAATTGATTTAATTTAATATGCTGCAAAGTGCACCCTACAAATAGTACAAGCACAAAAAAAAAACACAGCTGCAACAAGAACCAAAAACAACAACAACAACAAATGGCTAATTGCTATTAGCAAAAATATGCATACAACAAATGCAACAACAACAACTGCAACAACAAACAAACCAAAAAAAAAATGTCTTGAAACTAAATAATCAAAAAATATGCAAACAAGGCGACCAGTTGCCAACAAGCCGCTGCGACTCTCGTCTAGACATTAAAGTCTCGCCAACTTGTGAAAATGCTTTTAATTAATTCATGTTTCTCGTTGTTGTTGTTGTTGTTGTCCTAAAGTTAGACACGGCGTCTGTTGGCACAGCAGCTCTGAGCGGCCCAGAAGATCAGGCCCGCGCAGATTAAAGCCATGTGATAATTATGCCAAAAATTCTCAAAACTGCGTGATTAATAGCCCCCCCCCCCCCTTTTTCTGGCGTGGGAGGTTCGTGCAGGCAGGCCAATTGATTGTCCAAATTCTTGGCCATAAGCCAGCTAAATTGAGGCACACAATTAGCATGAGAAGCCGGCAAACTTTTGATCCAACCGATCAGAATTGAATAACCAAAGAGGAAATGACAATTTAAAGCGAATAGCTGTCATTGCACTGAAAAATATAATTGGCTTAGTTCAAGATTATTTGCTTAATTGTTGATTGCAATCAATCTAATTGAGCTTGAGTTAAAAGAAGGAAGAAGTTGATTATAAAAAGTAGTCTACATTTTTGAATTTTTGAAAATTTGATTAATATATTATTTTTCTCAGTGTATTTCACGCATTGTTTGGAATCTAGAGCGCAGGAGCAGAGAAAAGAAGCAAGTCAATAAGAAAAAGTAGTCCAACGTTCTATATTTTCGTTACTTTTTAAATCAAACTTTTGAATATGTAATTTATATAACATTTTTCTCAGTGTATTTCACTCATTGTCTGGAATCTAGAGCGCAGGAGCAAAGAACAGGAGGAAATGGATGGTAAACATTTTTTGTATTTACATTTTTGAAAATATAATTTATATATATTATTTTTCTCAGTGTATTTCGCTCAATGCCTGGAATATATGGCTCCACTGTGGCATGATACACATGTAAACCGTCAAAATGTCGTCAACAGCAGCCGGAGGCAATGTGTCCACGTTTCCACACATTTGCATTTGGGCATTCTTCGGGCATAGCTTTTGGACAACTGTTCAACTGTTTTGGGCCGTGACAGGGTATTTGAAAGTGATCGTTTAAATTAATTAAATAAATTAAGCGCAGCACTTGGTTTGATTCTGGTTTTTGCGGCTAGCCGCAAGGAATCCGCATCAAATTGGCACTCGAAACCGTGCAGCACGCTAATGTGAGTTAATTTGTTTGAGAACAAAACTATTTGTATGGAAATTGCAATCATTCTTCATGGCAGCTCTACCCCCTTCCCCTCCGCTTAACGAAGCCGCAACAAATTAGTTGTACAAATGACCTTAGATATGATTTCGTAATTGGGCGGCGCTTGGTACACTGGTAGCAGCCAGCCCCGACTGCCCAGGCAGCCCAGACTGTTGGCCAACGGCGTCTCATGCGAAAACCCACCCACCCACAACAATGATTAAGTGCAGCAACATGTGAGCGTGCCCGTGTCCGTGCCCGTGTCCGGGCCAGCGCATGAAAACCTAAATAAAAATCACAACAACAGCAGCTGGACAACAAGAGCAAAACAGCAACAACATTGCCTTGTTAGCAGCAGCTTTGTATACCCTGTCGAGAATGGTCTAAAGGGCATGCGTAGCCTAGACAACGTATGTATGTGAATTTATACATATAAATATTTATTTTATATAGTCTTTGCCTGAACAATATTAGATTTTGTATATATTTTATTTCGATCTGTCTCTTTTACAGGGTATCTAGCTGTCGAGTTGTGTGCACTTGCGTCGCTTTTAGTTGTTTTTCAATCAGATTTTTCATTTTTGTGCTGGCATTTATTGGCGTTTAGATTTTGATTGGCTCAAATGTGCAGTAAAAATAAATTATTTTTTATTACTTTACAAGCCAAAAAAAAAAAGAAAAAAGAGAAAAATAAAATTGGAAAAAATCCATTCGAACAGGTAACCAGAGCGCCTTGCATATTGGACAAATATCAAAATGCATAAAATCAACTCCAAATGAACTTTCGGTTAGTTGTTCCTGGCGAAAATGTGCATGGGCCAAGAAATGAGTCATGTGGAAAGAAAAATGGAAAATGCGGCCTGGCATGGCTACAGCTGGAGCGTTAATTAATCTTATTTAAATGGATTGTCATTTGCCCAGCGAGCATTACGAATTTGATGTGAACAATTTGCCAGTTGCAAAAGTGAATGTTGAACAATTGAAATGCGCTCAAGTTTAGCCGGACGCCAAAAATAAAACATAACAGAATACAACAGCAACAAGAAAACGATAAAGAAGGGCTATCTTCGGCACGCCGAAGATTTGATACCCTTGCAGACTTAACCTTATCAAAATGCTCTTAAGAAGCGCAGGGAAATTGTAAATGCCGAGTATGGTTAACATATCTTGAAAAACAAATAAGTTATCTATGCAAGAACCTCCTTTTCGACCGATCGTTCCTATGCCAGCTATATGATATAGTGGTCCGATTTAAATAAGATTTTGCTTAAATGTAGGGAACATAGTGGAACTTATAAATGCCGAGTTTGGTCAAGATATTTCGATAAACAAAAAAGTTTTCCGTACAACAACTTACTAATGGAACGATCGTTCCTATGGCAGCTATATGATATAGTGGTCCGATGTTGATAGGATTTTGCATACATATAAAACGCATAGTAAAAGTAATAAATGCCAAGTTTGGATAAGATATCGTGATAAACAAAAAACTTTTTCATACAAGAACCTACACTGCGACCGATTGTCTCCTTCTTTGCGACAAAATTAGAATACCCTCTGCAAGGGTATCATAAATGAAATGAAAACTAAAAAAAATTGATACTGTTATCGGTTGTTAATGATTGTAACGCCTACAGCATCAGTTAGCCGCGCGGCCAGATGCTAATGCTGTCCGAGTCCAGGTTAACGCTCGATTGAGCAACTGTTCATTGACTTTCAACACGGAAGCGTGCTGCTCTCGGCTCCAGACTCTGGATGCATTTGCGATTGTGGCTAAAGTCGAAAAATGTTTAGCGAGACTGTGTCGGCTGTGTTTAGTAGTAGGTGCAACAAGATCAACAACTGGCGCAACACGGCCGCTGCTTTAAATTACTTTGAATTGTGTTTAATAGCTGGAAATGATGCCGGGCCAAAATGGAGACTGTGTCTGACTTTGAGTCCGGCACGCTGCCCGCTGCTATTACTTATTGGCCAAGCAATTATGGAGCCTCAATTTGCCGTTCAGCTCGTTGGTTAGGAAGTGCCAATTGACGTTTTGGCAGCGTGAGAATCGAAACACTTTTCCTTTTCCTGCTGATGCGGCAACCCCTCACCTCAATGCAACGACAACAATAAATTAGTTCAAGTTCAGCGAACAGCACAAATTTGTAGCATTTAAGGCATGACAAAATGCCAAACACAACGCACAAGCCTGCCTGCCTGCCTGTCCGACTGTGCCTTATAAATATGGTAATGGCCTGGCCACGGTCCGGCGTCCACTCCGGCGATAAATCTAACATAACTATTTTGCAAGCCAAAAGCGATCTCATGTGGGCAGGCACCGCACGCTCGCCAAGCTTCGAGCTAATGTCCAACTGGAGCTGGACATGTGCAACATGTGTACGCCAGGCACTTGCCATGCGCACCGACTGACTGACTGACTGACTGACGGACTGACTGACGGACTGATTGACGGACTGACTGACTAACAGTCCAAGACATGACTCTAGCTCTGATTGCGACAGCTGCGCGTTTTCAGCTAATCGCCTCGCACTACGCGAATTGTAATAAAATAAGCCAAAAACTTTTGCTGTCGCAGCGACCGATGCGATTCCCGATATCAAATGACATGGCACACAGCATATAATGCCAAAGGCACTGCACATTAGCTTGAATTGCTCCAAATTGAGGCTGGCTAGAGGATTCCACGAAATAGATGGCACGAATTTGTTAAATGTCCAGGCTAGCAGTGGAGCTTTATTTTGGCTGGAATACATGGATATACGAGTTATCCAACTGTTCCAGAAATTAAGATAACGAGAATCTGTAGTCGAATTCCCGGTAATTAATTATTTGGCCGTAATATGGCCTTAGCCGGAGGTCTTAGTTGTAAAGTGAAATTTCCATGCTTGTTTCACTCCATTTCGTGAATGTAAAATGTTTTATTATTATTTTATTTAACTCCGTTTTTTTACTATCACAAAAATCGCATAGCTGGCCAGTCAAGCCCCATTAGAAGGATTCGAATGAGGATTGACCTTTTTAATTTTTATTTTTTAATTATTTATTAAATTACTTTTGTTATTTCAGATATCCGTTTGTGCCTAAAGAACACACAAATCGTAATAGAAATCATCCAAGTCTCAGTCATGTTAGACCTAACCGTAGATCAAATCGTATTGTAAATATTCATATAAATTTAATTCAAGTTGTTCCCATAAAAACAATAAAAATTTAATTAAAGCAAACAAAACATTAATATAAAAAAAAAGTCTCAGCCTAGGTTATCTTCTTCCTCACTCATCTAATAATCAAATGTTTATATAGACCATTTCAGAAAACGTTAATTATTATAATTATTGTTCACTTAATTAAGTTTTTAGTTAACTTTGTTAGAATTCATAGGCAATCAAAAACTAAACAAAGGTTTAGTTTAGAATCTAATAAACAAATCGATTTAATATTGAAATAATAAAAGTTGGCTTGAGTTTGAAAAGCGGAGTCCTAAAGCATGTTTGAAGTTTGAGCTGATAAAACATTTTCCCTCAAAACCTGGCCTAAACACACAGACACACACAGCTGCTTAAACATATTGCAATTATGCATGACAATTGCTCGTGTGTGTGTGTGTGTGTGTGTGTGGATTGTGCAAGTGCGGCATCTTCATTAGCCGCGCTCGCAGACTTGGCCTGGCCCGGGTTAAAGCCGACCAAAGTCAGAGCAAGCCAAGCGAAACGCAAGGCAAACGTATATATATATATATATATATACATATATATATATTTATTTATGGCAATTAATTTGAATTTCTACACGCAAAGCGTGTAAAATGCAACAACATGTCGACGAGGACAACTTGCGCTGGCTTGCTGGCGACGATTAACCAATGAATTAAAGCGATTGTCGAGCAATTAATAAATCTTTTCGAGTGTGTGTGTGTGTGTGTTGTGTGGCACGCATGACCCAATCCTAATCGAGAGCGATTTGCCAGATTTCTGATTGCGGTTCCCAGGGTGCCCAACTGCCTGCTGGGATGAAACGACAACCGCCGATTGCCGATTGCCGACTGCAGCCAGTTGCAGTTGCAGTTGCAGTTGCCGTGGCAGTTGCATAACTCTGAGGCTGACTCTAATGAATTGAACGTTGGCTTTTCACAGTTGTTTAATTTATGGCCGCGTCGCGCGCACACGCACATGCACTCAATAACGACGAGAGGCGGAGCGGAGGGGAGGGGGGGGGGGACACACGCGCAATGGTCAAGAAGTTGGTCAGCGCCAGTTTGGTCAGTTGACTCTGGCTTCGGCTTTGGCTTTGGGCATTTATATTGGCGCGTGTGTATCGCACTTTTCAATTAACTTACAAAACGCATGCCCAAGCACGTTTTGCCAATTTTTTTGTTGCTTTTTGCTTGATCTGTAAACAAGTGTCTGCCGCTTGTCTGGCACGGCCGCGGCCTTCAACATGAACTTGAACTTCCTGCCTTACCTCCCAATTTTTTTAATTTTTTTTTGCGTGTAATTGCCCGTTCTGCACATTGACTTGCTTTTGGGTTGGCGGAAACATTGAAAGTGCGTGCTTGGCTGCCTATGATTATAGTTTGTATCTCATACAATTTATGGCCTGGATGCTGTGTACGCTGTGACACGCCCCCAGCCAAAGTCCATTGTCTGCGGCTTAACAGCTTAATAGCCAGTTGTACACATGCAGTGTGTGTGTGTGTGTGTTTATTTAAATACGATTACGAATAGACATGTTCATTTTTTTTGTATGCTTGCGGCTGGCTTTGTCATGTCTTTAATGCCGACAAAATGCTAGCTGCAAAAATTGACACACGACAACGGGCAACTCTGGCGGCTGGCCATAAATTCAAGTGCCCAATAAAAATTCTGAATAGCCTCTGAGCTAGTCTCAATTTGCGGTGAATGTTGGCCAAAAGTGTAACTATTGCATTCGCATTAGCATGAGCATCAACGGAAATGCTGTGAAAATTGTCGCTTGGCATTGGCAAGAGCCGAAAACAAAAGACTTAGGCAACGAACTTGGCTAACGCAAAATAAAATGCAATATTTTTTTTTCCTTTATTTTTTTTGCACTTATTTTCTGAGTACTTACGAATTTCATGTTGATTTAGTTAAGGTTTTTTTTTTTGTAATGTTTAATTGTTGGCTGCGCTGCAATTAGTTAACAAATATTTCAAAAATTAATTAACTGATTTATTAGACACTGCACTTGTTTTCTTTGTTTTTTTTTTTTTTTTGGTTTTACAACACGAAACACGATTTTGTTTTTGATAATTCGCAATTTCTTTTGCTTTTCTTTGATTTTTCGGTTTTAGCTGATTATTGTTATTGTTGCAAACGCGTGTCAAATGAAACTGAAAGCCAAATTCAAATAACAATGTGTCTGGGAACTGTTAGCTGGATGCCGTTTGGCTGTCAACTGGGTATTGGCTTACACGACTCTGCGCTGCGCTATATTTAAAAATAGTGTGTGTTGCGGGAGCTCGGCTTTGACTCTGACTCTGACTCGGACTCGGACTCGGACTCGGCGGATCGTGTGTTTGTACGTCGAGCTGTGCGGTAAAACGTTTAATGAATTCCAACAGAAATGCTCAGTTGATTTTATATAAAGCATGGCAAGCGTGCGCCGCTGTCGACGTCGACGTGGCCGTCGTTGCTTTGTTTGCTGCGTTTTGAGTGAGTTTTTTTTATTATTTTTTTCTTCGAGCACTTGTATGAGAGCCTTTGAGCTTGAGTTCGAGTGCTGTTGTTGCTGGCCTACGTGCGACACGTGATGGTCGTTGTTCTTGGGCGGATTGTGGCAAAAAAGGCAACTTTCTAGCGTTTGGTTGCGATGGCGGCTGCTGCTGCTGCTGCTGCTGCTTTCCGGTAACCAGTTTCCAGCTTGAGCTGCACTTCATTCGGGTCAATCAGTCTGAATAGGCGCTTATGCAAATCGAATGCAAATGTAATAGGAAAGCTGGGCAAGCACCTTGGCTTGATTGCAGGTGAAAACAGCTACAACAATTGCAGCAGCAACAACAACAACAGCAACAACAGCAGCAGCAACAACAGCAACAATAACAACAATGCTGCTGTATTGTCAGCAGTTAAAAAGCTTTGGCAATTTCTTCCGCCTCTGCCATTTTGACCGTGAAAATTTCGTGTGATTGTTGGCCTGTTGGTCTGTTTGTTTGATTGTTGTTGTTGCTGTTGTTGCTGTTGCTGCTCAGTTTTCTGGCCGAGGAACGCTGTTGACTTGATTTAAATGACAATTTACGTTATATTCGAATGTATGATTAAAAATAGCAATATGCATATCATAATCATAACGCACGAATTACCTGCCGGAAGCACTAAACAGAAGGCTTAAACCACAAGCCTCCGAGCTATTTTTGTACACAACATGAATATTTTTAATTACAATTTATGCTACAGTTGATGTGCTACATAAAATGCTTGACATTTACGACCCTTAAACTGAAAAACAATTGTTCAAAATAGCCGCCTACGAGGGCTGCTCAATACGTAATGTGCGTGTGCCCATTTATATTTCTAGTATTTTTTCTGCTATTGAACTTTTTGGTATTCTAATGACAAGTAAAGATTGGCATCCTTGGGCGAGCGTTGCCGTATCACTCAACACAAAAATTACTCTCACAAATTGCATATTAAAAACGGGCATTTGCCTGAGGTCAATTTGTCTGTGCATCACAAAGAAATGTTGAACTTTAATAAACACGATAAAAATCATTTCATGACTTAATTAACGACCCTCGTTATTAATGCGTGCAATTAAATACAAATTGCACACTTGTCGCAGCAATGCAAGCTATGCGTACGTTTTTTTTTTTCGCCAGCCAACGCATTTAATTAGCCATGCAGCGAAGGCTATGGGGAGAGAGAGAGAGCGCGAGAGAGAGAGAGAGCGCGAGAGAGAGAGGCTGGCTAATTCAAATACCAAGTTCAAGTTCAGCTGTCAGGTGTCTGACGGGGCGGCCGCAAAGTTGCCTTCTTTTTGCTGATGCCACAAGTAGCAGAAAACCGCAATAATTGAATTGAATTGTATAATTCATATTTAGTATTGTCTTCAGCTGGCGTTGGGGTCAAGTTCAGTTGGCCAATTGGCCAGCGCAATTGTTGTAAGCTGTGCAACAATTAGCGCGAGCGCTTAATTGTCGACTGCCATTGATTTATGGCTGATCGACTAAACAATTAACAAATTGCCTTGCGCGTACTTTGCCTTCTCTGGCTTTCTTTTGTTGCTGTTGCCATTTGCTTTTGTTTCTTTTTTTTTTTTTTGGCACTTAATTGAAATAGTTGAACGTCTGAAAAAAGTTATCAATCATTGGCGCAAATCTTGGCCTCAGCTCGGCTTGGCCCGGCCTGAGGTTATTGCCACTTTGAGGAATTGAAATAAGCGTTGAGAGCAGCGCCAACTAAAATCTGTTTTGGGCTCTAACTTGTCTGCGCACATGACAGGCCGTCTCAAATTAATGGTTTTTTAAATGCATGCTAAATATAGTCGCTGATATGCTAGTCCAAGCATTCGCAAGTTAATCAGTTGGCTTATCCTGTTGCCAGCAATTAGAATTACACGCATATTAATAACCGATTGCCACACGCGCATTTAATTATCAACATTTCACTCAACGTAAATGAATTACATGCATATGTATTTATATTATAATCGATACATGTTATATTGAAATGCCATTACACATTTTGTTGAGGAAGTCAACTGCAAATGAGTTCAAAACCTCAAGAAGTGCAATAACTTGCCCAATATTCAAATTTCGAACTGGTCAGTACTCCAACATGTACGCCGACTCATGCACACTCTGCACTTGGCATTAAAAGCTGAGTAATCGAAGGCAACTAAAAAATGCTTGATTTGAAATGTGCATAAGTGATTTGATTCATATTGTCATGATGTTGTCATGATTGCAGCATAGCACATTCATTTTAAACGTAGTTTTATATATAACGGTTTTTCTTTGCATTTTTGCCAACACTAAAATATAACACATGTATATATACGTTAAGGTTGCCTATTGCAAGGATGGCAAAGTCATCTACCATCGTTTTTTAACACTACGTAATCCATGCCAAAAATGTTATCTCCTCTGTTAAGGTATTACCATTTGATTCATTGATTTCATTGCATTATCGTGTATTGCACTCAACCTCCAGGTCAATTTTGATATTAACAGCATTTATTTTTAATTCAACAAATTCGGTTTGCCTTTTTCGGCATTCACTTTATGCCCTAAGTTGTCGATGCGTTTCAATGACCTTGCTGCGTTAATAATTAAGTGTATGACGATGCAGCACTTAGATTCTGATATAATTAGATACGTTATATGCCAATTAGCGCCGTGTTGAGGAAGCGTTGCTAAGGCTGATGCTAATGCTGATGCTGCTTTAGACGGTTGACAATATTTAACAGTTATTGCACTGCTGTTGCCAATTAGCTAATTGTGCCCAAATGTGCATAGAGAATTATGAAAAGCGAACGCAAGTTCGAATGTTTAGCATTCCAAAGTTCCGGTCCAATTTCGATTCGATTTGCATTATGCATGCACACACATAAGCACATACACACACACACACATATACACATGCATGTATATGAAGTGTTTTGCTTTTATTCTCACGACATCGACCTTGACAGTGCTCGAAACAGTGTGCCGCAGGTTTGTGAGTGTGAACGCATGCTTCAGCGGTTGGCAAGGAAGAAAACTCTTGATGCTGGAACTGGTTTTTGGTTTTCCATTAGGCGACAATTGAAGGCGCGAATATGCGTATGTAATATACCGTTGCAGCAACAACAACCACGCAAAACGTAAGTTTGACAAACTGACAGCGCAGTCGCTGTTACAGTCATGGGATTTAATTGAAACGGGTTGGCGGCGAGGTTGCATATGCGTGGTAAATTATGTTGCCAAAACTAGACGCTTAACTACTTTCGATAGGGAAGAGCTTAACTATTTGTTTACTTGTCAACAGCGGCAATTTATATGTTAAACGTTGAGTTGGTTTTGGGCAATTATTATTTTTGGCGGGTACATTTTAAAGTGTGCACTGGCAATGCTGTATATAACAGCTACCAATGTCAGTGTTGTAATATATATAAATATATCGTTTGCCAAATATCGATATAGTATTAAATTTTTAAATTTACTATTAAAACTAATTGAAAATAGTAAATAAAAACAAATAAAAAAAATGAAAATAGAAAATCGATGCCTAAGATATTCGCACTGTGATTTTTGCCAAAATGTCTTAGTGTTTGTTAATGTTCTTAATATCAAATTAAAAACTATCGGTGCATGGAACAATCGAGACTATCGATAGTGCCAACAACTAGCAAAAAGCAACCACTCATCAAACCGGCATCAGCACCGAAAAAGCGAGAAATATTCGCCTAAGCTTAAACCAAATTTTCGTAGAGTAGACGCCAACGCATGCCAAAATGACGCACACAAACACAAATTGGATCCTGGCATTTTTCGGCACTCTTCTGGCTTTGGAGCTAGTGACAGGCTCCGAAAACAATGAGTATATGAAGCGGGAACACAGTCTGGTGCGTCCATTTCAAGGTAAGATAACACTTTATGATGCATAGCTGTGCGTGTGCCAGAGGCATGCCATAAACACGAGACGATTCGTTATCCATTCCAGGCGTTGGCGTTATACTACCCCACTGGGATTTTCTGGGCAACACAATGGTCACCAGTAACTACATAAGACTGACACCGGATTTGCAATCAAAGAGCGGCGCACTGTGGAACTACTCGGTATGCGGGCTTAAAAATTGTATTTATTAAATAATTGTTGCAAATTTATATCTATTACAGCCCATCATGGGACGCAATTGGGAGGTTCACGTTGGGTTCAAAGTACATGGCAAGGGCAATGAGCTGTTTGGCGATGGATTCGCCATTTGGTATACAAAGGATCGGATGCAAACTGGTCCTGTTTTTGGCAGCAAAGATCATTTCTCTGGGCTAGCCATTATACTGGACACCTACAGTAATCACAACGGACCGCATAATGTAAGTGGCATGTACGCCTGTGGCAATGTTATCCTAATCCCTCTTTGCATTCAGCACCAACATCCCTATTTGAGCGCTATGGTCAATAACGGTACCTGGAGCTATGATCACGACCGAGATGGCACGCATACCCAACTGGCCGGCTGTGAAGTGCGCTTCCGTAATGTGGATTACGACACGTTTATTAGCATCCGATATGAGAACGATGTATTGTCCGTTTCAACGGATCTCGAGAATCGAAACGAATGGAAAAACTGCTTTGTGGTAAACAATGTGGAGCTGCCCACGGGCTATTACTTTGGCATGTCAGCAACAACGGGCGACTTGTCCGATAACCATGACATACATAGCTTCAAGTTCTTCGATATTGACACAAATATCAGTGTAAGTACGAATATAGGCTAAAGTGCAGCAGGTCTATTAAGAATTCATTTTTCTTGTACTGCAGCATGAGGAGATCTTGCGGCGTAGCAACATTATTCCAAATGCCAAAACATTTGAAGCGCCGCGAGAGCACAAAGATGATCCAAAGCCAGGAATGTCGAATGCAAAGATCTTTTTCATACTGCTATTCGTGGTGCTGGTGACGGCGGGCGTGGCAATTTTCGCCATATCGTATTTCAAGGATCGCAATGCGCGAAAACGCTTCTACTGAAAAAGCGAGAGCTCCAACTGCAACAGCAACAATAAAAGCTACCAAACCTAGGCATAGTCTACCAAAACATCATGTTACAAGCAGTAGCTGACAAGAAGTTTAAAGTCCTCTTACAGTTAATTTATATTGAATGTACCCATTACGACGATACTTGTTCATAAGTTATCTAGACTACGACCCGGTTTTTGTTAGAATGTTCTTATTTTCTCGAAAATTGTGGATTAGGCAAAACAACGACGCACGCAACGGGCAAGACGAATGGGCAATTGTTAAATTTAAGTGAAAATTTTTAATCTTGAACTATAGACAAATTGAGACCGTAAGAATATTATTGCAGTGTGTACATTACATTAGAGAAAAGATTTAAAAAAGAAACGACCAAACAACTGCAAACACTTTAATTGGTTAGACCCAGTGATAATGCTGACGCTGCCGGCTGCCCGAGGCTGAACGCGGCGGCGTCGGCCGCACCGTGGCCAACATGGACTCGATCTGGCGCACCTGATTGCTGACAAATCGATCGCTGGGCGGCTCATTGCGTTCGCTCTCCAAGTTATCGTTGGACTTGTGCATGCCGCTCAATATGCACTGCTCAAACAATGACTTGGACTGGCCGTCGTCCAGCGAATCGTCGGAGCTGTAGTCAGTCTTGGCGCCAGCAATTGTCTGTCGTCTGTGGTTGCTTGGCTTGGGCAGCGTGTTCGTCAGACTGGAGCTAGTGCTGGCACTGGCGCCGCTCGGTTGGGGTCTGCAACTGCCGGCGGCAATGGCCTGAAAGGTAACGAGATTATGTGACCACATCCACAGAAGCTTTTTTTAAGTGCGCGCTTACCTGACTCAGCAGATTGCAGTCATCGTCCGAATCCATTGACAATGAGCTGAGCGAATCGCTGCGTTTGGGCAGCACATTTGCTGCACTTCGTCGTGGCGGCAACTTGGGAGCTAATTCGGCATTCCTAGGCAAAAGCTGCGGCGGCTTCAGGGCACGCGCCGGGCCCACTTGCGCCGAGCCCACGGTCAAACTGGAGAGTCCAGAGATTACGGAGAAATTGCAAGGGCTGTCCTCGACGTAGTACTTATTCATCTCATCTGTTACGGGCAGATAACTTGGCAAGGCGCTGCCGCCGCAGCGCATCTTGGATATGGCATCCTCATTGCCCTGGACTTGTGGCATCTGCTCTACATTGGCATTCTGATCATTTGCGGTGGAGGCTATGGAGAGCACCGAGAGATTGCTGTTGCTGCCCGCCTTGGACAGCAGCGCAGGCGTATCCTCGGTGCAGTAGCTGCGCGGCGCATCGTTGCCATTAAGGTCATTTCCATTGGAATTACTGTTCCCGCTGGCACTAAGCTGCAATGTCTCCAGCTTGCGTTCGCGACGCGGCGACTGCGGCATGCTCTGCGTGGGTGAATCCGGCAGCTCCGAGGGTGAGATGACGCCGCTTTGCATGCGACTGTATTCACTTATAACCGAACCGTTATCATCACAACCAATGGTCTCATCATTGACCAGAGAATCCATGGAGCTGTGTCTGGAGAACATCAGCGGCGTCTCCAGTGCGGAGTCAATGGCCTGGCTGTTGCTGTTGTTGTTGTTAGTTGGAGTTACCGCAACAGGTTGTTGCGGTGCATTGGCTGACTTGGGCACAACAACAAGCTGCTTGGGGGCGCCCTCCGTGAGGCTGTTGAGCGAGTCAAAGCGACTAAAGCAGCCGGGCGTGCCTTCCTCGCAATAGTTGATTGGCCGCTCGCCGGGCTCCGGCTCCGGCGTGTGCAAACAGGCGTCGGGTTTAACGGCTGCCAGATTCTCCAGAGCATTGCTGCGCAAGTTGAGCGTCTTGGGACGCTCAGCCTGATCGCTGCTCAAATCGCAGGCTGACGCAGACTTGGCAAGCGGCGCAGCAGCGGGGCTGCCAGTTTCGTCCAGTATAAGCAGGATCTCGTTGCTGTCCTCGCGCGCCTCTGGCTGCGGCTGTGCCGCTTGTGCGGAGCGTCTTTCCTTGTAGCGCGCACTGAAATCCGTGGGCTGATCCAGGTCGATGGAGTTGTCGAAACTGGCCTTGGCCGGCTTGTGCTCGCTGTAGCTGTACTTCATTGAGTAGTCAATGGGCTGCTCCTCCGTGGGCGTAACGTAATGGCTCTTGACTGTGGCCGCGCTCAGTTTGCGCTGCTCGAAGGCGCTGTCGGATTTGGTGGAGTATTTTGTGGAATCGGAATCGGATTTGCCGGAATAGATGGACTCGCGGCTTTCGCATTTGCGGGGCAACGTGCTGCTCCCGTTGCTGCTGCTGCTTGCCGTGCCGGGGCGCATTTTCTTCAGTGAGCCCGTGGGATTGCTGCTCAGCCGCATGGAGCTGTAACGTCGTGGCAGCGTGCCCGCATGGCCGTCCAGCTCCTTCGGCGGCAGCTCGTTATTGGTGGCCAGCTCAAGGGCGTTGCGATAATTAACCAAGTTCTTGAGCGCAGATGCGCTGCCCTCAGCCACCATGGGATTCTTCGAGCTGGCGAGAGCACGCAGCAGTGGAATGGCATTGTGATCGATAAGAAACTGCTGATCCTGGGGACAGCGTGCGGACAGATTCCAAAGCGTGCCGCAGGAATTGCTCACAACCGTCTGGTTATCCGACTTCAGCTGTTGCAGCAGAATGGCCAAGCAGTTATGCTCCCGCAGGATCTGGCGATACGATTCACAGACAGCTATGTGGCTGGACACGTTGCGCAATATGCCGCCGGCATTCTCGACAATCTTCAGCGTTTTGCTGGGTCCCTCGTAGCTGAGCATTTGCACAAGAAACCCTAATGCGCCATCGACAGCACAGAACTCCGCCTTATTGGTGCTGCAGTGCGCCGATAGGTTCCACAGAGCCGATAGAATCGCCTTCAAGGTGTTCTCGCTTTTGTTGTGCATGGCGGCCAAGGCGAGAGCCGTAACCGTGCCCAGCTCATTGAATATGGTCTTCAGGTGTTTGTCCGCGCGCCACGAGAGATTGCGCAAAACGCTGGCCGTGGCCTGCAGCAGATCATCGACATCTGCAGCGGCATTTGAGTCGAGCTGCGCCACCAGCGCCTCCATAAACTGCTTCTGGCCGCAGAGCAGCGACTTGTTGTTCTCCTCGCCGCAGGTGAGATTCGTTAGCGTCATTAGCGCATAGCGTCGCAATAGATTGCACTGATCTCTGCCCGCAGCCGGGCCGTGCACGGCATGATCCAGATGCACCAGATTTGGTATGGCTTTTAGGGCGCCCAGCTCACACATGGTCTGGCGATGCTCCTCATCGAAGCTGGCCTTCATCAGCAGCTTCATGGAGGCCAATGGATGACGCTCCTCATCGTCGGCAATCGATTCACCGCCGCTTTGCAGTTGCGTGCGCAAAAAATTACAGCTATAATCATGGATTTGATCCAGCAAACGCAGCACCTTCACCTCCCGCTGATTCCCCTGGACAATGTTGTGCAGGGCTTGGCTGGCGTTCTTGCGCGCGGCTCCGCCCGCGACGGCCCCATCGTCATTGGCATGCAGAATTTTCACCAATAGTTGAATGCAGTCGGAGCTACGCAGTGCGGCGCAGGTGTCCGCATTCCTCGATAACTCCAGAAAGTTGCGCGTTAGCTCCAGCTGCTTGTGAGCGTCACTCTCGTTCAGCGTCATGTTTACGAATGATTTCCACTTTATTGATTTGGCCGGGCTTAACGCTAAAACTCTCTCGCACTCGCTGTAGCTTTGTACCTAAGCGTATTCCAGGAAATAATATTTGCCTGTCCTTTGAGGCACTGTTAACGAGCAGGTAGCCGACATGTGCTATGTTGTGGGGTGCTTCATAATGGCTAGGTAAAAATAACCTACAGCGCAGAAGCAGCTGCCTTTGTTTGGATGCTGCTGTTACACTCGTATCGGGTTTGAAAAGCAACAAGTTATCGATAGTTGCATGTCAGGGTATAAGAAAATAAGAGGTATCGCGCACAGCGCTTTCGGCTGCGATGCAATAAAGTTCTAGGGATGAAGTAAGCTGTCTAATTGTGCTAACTTTCTATAACTTAAATAACTAACTTAGAAAAACACAATTTGGCTTCTTCTCCTTAATCTACATATTATAAAGGACGTCAGACAAACGAAATATATGAAACATTATTATTTTAAGCTTCATCTTAGCGTGTCTATATATACATATATATATAATTTGTAATTTATAATTTGTATTTTACTTGATTTTCATAAATAGCATTCTACATTTAATATAACAATAGGTAAATTGCAAAATATCAAAATCTAGAAGACTACCGCCGTGACGTCACATTTAATACGGTCATATAACGTATCTACGCATCGTATTATTCTAACAAACATTGTGTAGAAACTTTCTACCATCACTAGTTGATGTTACGTTACGTCACGCAAATCAGCTGGTCACACAGCTGCTACGCCGCATTGAGCTAGTCGTTGAAAAGAATGAATTTCTTGAAAAAGGTAAATAAAACAATTAATAAATAGCAGTTAAACGTTAAACGTGTTGCATTTTTAAGGTGACTACGCAAATATTGCCGCTGGCTGAGGCACAGCTCAGCCTGAGCAACAAATCGGCATTGCACACCAGCGCAGTTTGCTGTCGCGTGCAGTCTGGACGTTACCGCATAACCGTAAAACGGGATCGGCCGCTCACCTACGAGATGGCCAATCCGCCGCATTATATTGGACATCGCAAGTCCTGGAACTCTTGGAACACATGTATGTGCGCTGCATTTGCTTTTATTGAATTTTATAGAATTTCATAAACAAACATTTTTCAGCCACTCTTAAGGATGCCCTGCGTCCGTCTCAGACAGCCATCGAGGATGTTTTCATTCGCAAGTTTGTAACTGGCACCTGGCATGCGCTCGTCTGTTCCGAAATTATTATAAAGCGACAACACAATACAATACGCATTGCTGCCATCATACGACAGGCGATTAGCCCCCGCAAAATGTACTTCCTTATTGGCTACACGGAAGAGCTGCTCTCCTATTGGATGCAATGCCCCGTCACTTTGGAGTTTCAGACGGTGGCCGACAAGAAGGACGTGGTCTTTAAATATATTTAGTACCTATGCGTTTATACTTGGCTCTACAATATATTTAAACTTATAGTACATACATTTTTTAGTGGCTACTCAATGCGCGTATTCCACCTCGCTGTTATTGCTGTGCCAAGATTTAATGGCTTTGTTTACAATGACCCCATCCTTATCTTTGACCTGAAAAATAGGCAACGATCAGGTACCTTTAAAATGTGATATGTATGCTTCATACCGTTTCAATCAATGCTTTCAGTTCCTCCTGAGAGCTTAGATCGAATATCAAAGACTTGATGTCTTTCACCAGCTCCAGAAAGAGGAATACGACGATCTTCTTGGCGCCACCGCATACCTTGTCCCAAATTTTGACTAACATAGTCTCACAAATGACCCCGGCGAAGCAAGTTATATACCAGTTCTCCACGAGCTTCGAGTTGATATCAAATAGACCAAGCTTTTCTAAGCGACTGAAATAAAACAAACTGATTTCAATAAAAAACAATTGTCTACAATATATATAGAGCCTACTAGAATAATCCAATGTCCTCGCGCTTGAGTAGTATCTGGGTCAATTCCTTTAGTTTGCCACATTCCTTCTTCAGGTCACGCGTATACTGGTAGAACTCCTTGGCTATCCAGTACGTTTCCACTTCATCGTCAAATATGTCAAGTAGTGTGCGCACAATTTCAACGAAATGATTGTCATCTGCCTGAGCTCCGGCTCGAATATTACTATGCAACAGCCGATTGTTTTCCAGTAACCACATTTTATGCAGCACTAAATCTCTGGACTTGGAGTCCAGGTCTACGCAACGCATTACAGTCACGGCGCGCAGCAAATCCTCGTAGACCTGGCGACGTTGCTCCCGAACATATTCAGTATTGCTTTTGTGCAGTGGCATTATACCCATTATCAGACTCCAGAGCAGACTGCGCTGCTGTGCTGGGACCGTATAGGTGTATACGAAGTGCTTCAGCTTGGCCAGATTGCGTATGTCATCCTGTAGCAGTTTATCGAGTGATTTCTTTTCTTCAACGCTAAAACAGCCAACTTTTTCATAGTAACTAGATCTAAAATTACGCTCATCTGTGGTCATCTTTCATATGTATTTCGGTTAATATTTTTCCGTGCTTTGCTTATTTCAATTCGCTCGACTGAGGCAGTATATTGTTCTGTTCTGCAGCAACAGTAAACAGCAGAAATAACCCTAAAAATGTCAAAATTTAATGAATCTTGAATTGGTCATATTTAGAATGAACTCTGGTCACTTTTTTCTAAGTAAAACTAATTGGCGGCAAATTCAGTAATATTTAAATATTAAGAGACCTTCGCCTTTAATATAATATTACCAATTAAATATTAATAGTAACTTTTTGTTTTATTAGATTAAAATGTTGTATATAATTTGGCAAACTCACCATCAATTTCCGAAAAGTTGTAATCAGATGTTCATATACTACAGCTGATTGCTCTTACTCTTACTACTGCAGCTGTTACTTAAAATACTAATGTAGTTTTTTTACAAGACACATGTTAAGTTAGCTCTTTTTGCGTTCACAGTTCATTTACTCCTTTTAGCGTTACGTGTCGCTTTTCCGTTACGTAGCTGACTTTGCCATTACGTAGGTACGTAAGTACCGTTGTGCATTGCATTTTGCTACAAAATGCCCAAATATTGTGTGAAAAGGTAAACAAAGCTGTTACAGTGACAAAATGTTCCATATAAATGCATATAAATGTGATGAATGTTGGCCAAGTAACATATTATTTAACTTATCAAAGTAAAGGCGGCAATAGTTAATAAATTGAAAAGCCTATGTACATGTATTACACACTGTTGCTGTCTTCGCAGAGGCTGAAAATTAAAATCAATAATTCAATCAGAAAATCAAAACACAAATGTGTTTATGATAATTTATGCAATTATGCCACATTTGTAACGTTTCTTGATTCTCTTTGCAGTTGCAGTTGATAAATTCAAATGTTATGCTTTGCATTTGCATTTGTTGTTGTTGTTGTTGTTGTTGTTTTTGCCGTACACGTTGCAAGGGCTTGGACAGGGCAAAATGGAACAGGAGATTGGCACCTGGGACTCAGTTCTGCTGGAAAACCTGTCCGAGGATAGCTTCATAAGCAACATACATCAGCGTTACAAGCGCGATCATATATATGTAAGTAATCCAGAGAATCACCTTGGATCACATTTGATGTCTCGCCTTTAGACCTACATTGGAACTTCTGTTGTGGCTTTGAATCCATATCATCACATATCTGAGCATTCGCTGGAGAATATACGCAACTATGGCAATAAAGGCATTTTTCAGCTGCCACCACACATGTAAGTGTCCTGCTTTGAGAATAATCCCTGTAATATAATCGTATAATCCTCGACAGCTATGGGCTTACCAATTTGGCTTATCAGTCTCTCAAGAATCAGAGCGAGGACCAGTGTGTGCTGCTCACTGGCGAGGGAGGCGCTGGCAAAACGGAGACCTTTAAAATGATTGTCAATTTTCTTACACACATACAGGATCGTGCGCCTTGCACTGGCAACCCAAATGAACTACGCAAACAGTCCTCCGGCAGCTCAACGAGCGGCATGGGCATGCATGCCCACCGACGCGCCTCGAGCAGCTGCTCTGGCACCGCCAATTTTATCATATGCAAAAACAGCGCAGCTTCCGCAACCAGTCAAGGCAGCACATCCAATTCACGTCGCCAGTCGCCGTCACCGGGTCCGGGTCCGGGGCCAGGTGCGACACAGCGCTCGCGAATGCGTGCCGAGAGCATCGAGCGGCAAGCCAGGCGCAATATGCGTGAAAAAATTGTTGACTTTGACTTTTCGCATCACAAAAGCACTGAGAATATCAGCACGCTGCTGGAATCGGCCGCTTCCCATGGATATTTGCATCCAACGAAATCATGCTTCAAGCATCAACAGATACAAGTCAACACCTGCACTGCCAACTATGGGCCGCTGGCCGGGACAGCCTCGAGAACGGGCTCGTCCAGCACGTCGCCCAAGTACTTGCACGGCGGCTGTCGTCAGTGCGGCCATAGCAAATGCACACGCGCCCAAAGCCTGGAGAAGGAGGAGCGCGATGCCGCTCTGATATTGCTGCGGGGCAGCAATAGCCGCCTGTCTACTGCCAACCAACTGCAGCAACCGCAACGCGGTAGCTGTTCGAATCTGGTGCGACAGCACTCAAACGAAAGCCAAGCGGAGCGACAGCTGTCCACGGGCTCCACGCAGCGTATATCGCTGTACGATGCACACAAGCTGAGCAAGGTGCTTGGCAGCGCCAATGTTTCGCCCACGCCCTCGGTCAGCTCCTCGTTGCATCGACGCCACAAGTCACCCAGCCAGCGGCTGCGCGAGTGCGTCACCTGCGCGGATGTCTTCCTGGAGGCCATGGGCAATGCCTGCACACTAAAGAACAACAACTCCAGTAGATATGTAAGGCGTTTCTCTTTGCCCAGCTGTTAGTTAATATTAATATATGGTTATTGCTTGCTTTCAGGGCAAACTGTTTGACATTGAAATCGACTTCAAGGGAGATCCCATGGGTGTTCACATAACCCACTGTAAGTAGCTAAAGATGAATCTCTTAAATTGAAATTAAAATACATTACTATGAAATTGTTTCCATGTCTAACTCGCATAAGATATGTTGGAAAAGGTTTGAATTGAACGATATATCAGCTATTAATAATATATTGACCCCTCTGTATACTTTTTGTTTTATGATCTCTATTTAGACTCGCATCACGGATACCATGATTGGCGAGCGCAATTTTCACATATTTTACCAGCTGCTGTTGGGCGCGGATCTCCAGTTACTAAGTAAGTTTGTTCCCAATGACAAATCTTATTTAATTAACTAATAATTTTGTTTAAAGAATCTCTGAAGCTGTTTCGCAATGTGGAAAAGTATGAACTGCTGCGGAATACAACTGCCATGGAAGAGGATCGAGCAAATTTTCATTACACAAAGGTCAGTTGTAATTTATTATTATATCAAAGTAGATTCAACAAATTAATTACATTTCCAGCGCTCTCTGGACGTGCTTGGTTTGAGCTGTGATGAAACGAACTCTATTTTTCGGGTTATTGCCGTGGTCCTGAAGCTGGGCAACTTCATGTTTGTGCCCGTGACCAACATTGATGGCACCGAAGGCTGTCAGGTTTCGAATGTCTACGGTATGTCCCAAAACTAAGCTAAAAAACCAAATATAAGTTCTTGTTCTTGTAGAAGTGCAAGAAACAGCGCAGTTGCTCAATTTAGAAGCTCAAATTTTAATCAATTGCCTGACGCGAGCGAACAGCACGAGCAGCACACAGGAGGATGTTGGCTGTGAAATGGATGCCAGACAGGCTGCCAGCAATCGGAACACGCTCTGTCGTACGCTCTACAGTCGCCTGTTTACCTGGCTGGTGAATAAGATCAATGAGACAATGAAGTCCACGCAGCGTGAAAAGAATCTAGCCCTGCTCGACTTCTATGGCTTTGAGGTGCTGGATCATAATTCCTTCGAGCAGTTTGCCATTAACTACAGTGCCGAAAAGATACATCAGGCAAGTCAGCAGAAATGTGCCACAATTTTTGGCAATTATATTAACCAGTCTTCTTCCTTAACAGAATTTTGTGTTCAATGTGTTGCGCTCAGAGCAGGAGCTTTATTTGCGGGAGGGCCTGGATTGGTCGCGCATCGATTACTTTGACAACGAGTCCATATGCGAACTGATCGATAAGCCCAGCTATGGCATCTTAAGTCTAATCAACGAACCCCATCTGAACAACAACGAGTCACTGCTGCTGCGCATACAGCAATGCTGCGCCGGCCATCCCAATTTCATGACCAGCGGCAGCAATTCCATGTGCTTTAAGTAAGTCCATTCTAGCATAGCTAGACCGTAACTAAAAATGTTTATTCCATTCCAAAGAATTCGCCACTTTGCCAACGTTGTTAACTATTCTGTACATCGGTTTTTGGAAAAGAACTCCGACATGCTGCCGAAATATATAAGCGCTGCCTTCTATCAGAGCCAACTGTCGCTGGTGCAGAGCCTATTCCCGGAGGGAAATCCGCGCCGGCAGGCCAGCAAAAAGCCAACAACTATGAGCACCAATATACGCACGCAGCTCCAAACTCTGTTGGCCATTGTGAAGCATCGTCGCGCCCATTATGTGTTCTGCATTAAGCCCAACGAATGCAAGCAGTCGCATCAGTTCGATTTGGCCTTGGTGCAGCATCAGGTGCGTTACATGTCTCTGATGCCGCTGGTGCATCTCTGTCGCACTGGACACTGTTACCATTTGCCGCACGTCAAGTTCTTTCAACGCTACAAGCTGCTCAACAGTTTGACCTGGCCGCATTTCCATGGCGGCAGCCAGGTGGAGGGCATTGCTCTGATCATACGCAATCTGCCGCTGCCGTCGGCTGAGTTTACGCTCGGCACCAAGAATGTGTTCGTGCGCAGTCCGCGCACCGTCTACGAGCTGGAACAGTTTCGCCGGCTGCGCATCTCCGAGCTGGCCGTGCTCATACAGAAGATGTTTCGTATGTATCATGCCAGAAAGCGTTATAGGCGCATGCGTCACAGCCAAATGGTCATCTCAAGTGCGTGGCGCACGTGGCGTGTAAGTAGCTGCTGCACTGCAGCATTTGCATGCCTATCACAAAATAAGATGTACATATTTCTATATATGATTTTTTTCATTTTTATATATGTAGGAGTGCCGTTTCGGCATTCCCTTCACGGGCCGTAGGCACTTGTGGAGTTTATATCGTGTCGTAAGCATTGCATGTTCTTATTCCCACTCATACCCCACCCAGAAACTCAATTAATGCATAAATACTTATCGTTTGTTTTGACCAACTTTTGGCAGGCACGCGAGGAATATCGTTCTCTGAAGTACAAGCGCCAAGTCAAATGGGCCGTCGATGTCATTGCGCGTAACTATCACCAGTGGAAGATCCGACAGTATCTGCTCACCATTCCCTTGCGTCTGCCGCCGAACACGCTGAGTCCGCTTTCCTTGGAATGGCCAGCGGCGCCTGGTTTTCTGGCGGATGCATCACGTCTGCTGCGCGCCATCTACCATCGTTGGAAGTGCTACATTTATCGCAACTCATTTGATCAAACGGCTCGCAATCGCATGAGAGAAAAAGTGACTGCCAGCATTATATTCAAGGATCGCAAGGCATCCTATGCGCGCAGGTCAGTCCTCGCTCACGTAAATATGTCAAAGCTCTGCTAATCAAAATATATATTTTTAATTTGCAGCGTGGCACATCCCTTTGTGGGCGACTATGTGCGCCTGCGCCACAATCAGCAGTGGAAGAAGATTTGTGCCGAGACCAATGATCAGTATGTTGTATTTGCAGACATCATTAACAAGATAGCGCGCTCCAGTGGCAAGGTATGCTTCTACAACCTGTAACCACCTAGAATCAAGTTGGGTTGGGGAAGGAATAGTTCTAAGAGGATGAAGCACAGAGAAGCTAGTGTGTACAGGCTTTCTCTTAGTTGGCTATTCCTTGCCTTAAATTATCTTTATAGCTTATATATTAATGTTATATCTATTGTACTTGCAGTTTGTGCCCATATTGCTGGTGCTGTCCACGTCATCGCTGCTTCTGCTGGACCAGCGCACGCTTCAGATCAAGTATCGAGTGCCTGCCTCGGAGATTTATCGCATGTCCCTGAGCCCCTATTTGGATGACATTGCCGTGTTTCATGTGAAAGCGGTAACTGAAAAGAAGACTTTATTTTTAACCAAGCTAATAAAAATGTATTTCTATACAGTCGGAATTTGGTCGCAAAAAGGGTGATTTTGTGTTTCAAACGGGCCATGTCATCGAAATTGTTACCAAAATGTTTCTGGTCATACAAAATGCCACGGGCAAACCGCCAGAGATACATATAAGTACCGAGTAAGTAGTCGAGGCTTTATTAATAAATAGCTATGAAATAAAAATTGTTTTTTCTTGCAGATTTGAGGCAAACTTTGGACAGCAGACGGTCATCTTCTCATTCAAATACGGCGGCTTATCAGATCTGGCACAAGGGCCGCCAAAAGTCACGCGCAAGGCAAATCGCATGGAGATAATTGTCTGATCATTGAATTTGCTGCGTCTTTGCGCCTTGATTTTGGTTAGTGTGCGTGTCATTTATAGGATCTCAAGTTTTTATATCAATTATATATTCATTTCCAAGCAATCCGCATGCACTTATTAGGTCTGTGTTGACTTGGTCCCGGGGACCAAAGCATAATTTTAACAATATTTACACACACACTGACTCAAATATAATATTGTTTTGCTCACAACTGACAATCAGTCTCACACGTTCGTTGTCAAAATTGTGCCAAAATGAAAGAGGGGTGGGTTGGGGGATATATAACTAATTTAAATCAGCACCATTTCTTTGATATACCTAAGTAATAACTAACGAAATGAACAACTGAATTTATTTAACTAATTTTTCGAACTAGGTTTAATTGTAAGTCAAGCACCAAGTCGATTAACATTGCAACAAAGAGAACTACGTTAAGAACGTGGCACAGTGAAGCGTTAGATATTTTACACACACAAAATACGATATTTCCGTTATAGAAACCAAAGCATTTCTCTTACATTTAAGGTTTCATACACAATAATTAGTGAACTAATGCTATAGAACTCATACAAGCATATATATATATATATATATATATATATATATAGCTCTATATTTACTAAACACAATATGAATCTGCGCCTCAGAACCCAGTGAGAGATAGTTGAAAAAAAACTCGTGTGAAACTTTTTTCCAAAAAGGTTAATTAGGAAAACTATTTACAAGCCAGAAAACATGTAGTTAAATATTTAAAAAATATATACACATACATATATAAAGTGAATAATTCAATTATACATAAATGACAAAAGGCAACCGGAACCGAAACAATATGAAACCAGACAAAAACAAATTTTACGAATGTTTGTTACAACAGTTGGTCGTACTTACATAAACTATATGATGTAGTTGTTTATATAAAAATCTTGTTATTGATAGCTCAGACAGAGATCAAATGTAACTAACACTTGGATATATAGTTGAATTTCATAAACATAACTGGATCAGAGTGTGTATATTACCGACTAATTCAATGGGTAGCAACACGATGCCGAATATCTGTGTGTATGTATGGAAATAGTTTTTATTTAGATTTAAATTACATCATACAATACTCTAAAAAAGCCAAATACAGACAAGTATCTATATATATATAAATATATATATATATAAACATAAACACAATCCAACCAGTTGGTAGTTTATAAAACGAAATAAAATGATAAGAACAAAGTTTAGTAATAATAAAGCGTACGCATGGAAAAGTTGTTCTTTGTACAATATTATTCTCTTAGTCGCATATCAAAGGTTCACTGGGCTTAATAGCATATACATATGGCTGATGGACATGGTTTACAATTTCGATTTTGGCTTCTTGAGCATGTCGCGCAGAACACGACGCAATATTTTGCCACTGGGATTTTTGGGTATCTCGTCCACAAAGAGTACGCCGCCGCGCAACCGTTTGGCCGGCGAGGCGCGTTCGTGCACATAATTTATCACATCCTCCTCGGTGAGCTGGACATTCGCCTGCTTGACCACAAACGCCATGGGCAGCTCGCCAGCCGCCTCATCGGGTTTGCCGATAACAGCAGCATCTTTGATCTTATCGTTGGTTAGCAAAAGTGCCTCGATTTCGGCCGGTGGCACCTGGAAGCCCTTGTATTTAATGAGCTCCTTGATGCGATCCACAATGAAGAACTCGAATGCATCGTCATAGTAGCCAATATCTCCGGTGTGCAACCAGCCGTCCTTAATGGCAGTCTGTGTCGATTTGGTATCGCCAATGTAGCCCTTCATGATGCCATCGCCTTTGAAGCATAGCTCGCCCCGTTCGTTTGGTCCCAGATGCTTGCCCGTATCGGGATCAATGACCTTGGCATAGATGCCAACCTTCAGCACGCCAACGCTGCCCGGCTTGCAAAAGTCATCGGTCTGCACCAGAACACTGAGCGTCGACTCGCTGAGGCCGTAACCCTGGCGAATGAAGGGTACACCAATTCGCTCCTTTATTTGATCTTCGGTCTCACGGCTGAGGGGTGCAGCGCCGCAAAGCAAGACCATCAGTGAGGACAGATCATACTTGTCCACAATCGGATGCTTGGCCAAAAAGACCATAAGTGGCGGCACCATGAAGGCCATCATAACGCGGTATTTCTGCAATGTACGAAATATTAAAAACATGTATATAGTTTTTAGACTTAGCTACCTCAATGGCGGAGAGAAATAGATTCTCTTCGAATTTGGGCAAATAGACGAGACGCGTGCCCATCGTGGCCGTTGTGATGAGCGTGAGGCAGCCAAAAGCATGGAACCACGGAATGACAGTCAGCAGCGTAATCTCCGAGAAAGGCATCATGGTGGGCTGGCTGCAAGCAAAAGCGAAACGCATGAAAAAATAAAAACAAATACATATATATATTCATTTAGCTTACATTTGCGAGTCGATCGTAGCCAACAGATTGAACTGTGTCAGCTGGACGCCCTTAGGAAGACCCGTGGTGCCGGAGGAGCATACAATTAGGGCGACATCCTCGGTTTTGTTGGCCACCGGCGATGTAAAGTCGGGCTTTGTTTTGTACTTGTCGTTGTTCATCAAGTCCATGAAGGAATGCACATTTGGATGATTGCTGGAGGAGCCGCTGAGCGCAATAATGGCCTTGACAAACTTATTCTTTTTGGCCACCTTGGCAACGCGGTCAACGGTGATCTTTGAGGCGAATATGACCTTTGGACGCGACAGGTTTATGGCATGATCCACCTCACGTTCGGAGTAGGTGACATTTAATGGCGCCACGGTTGCGCCCACCGCAAATCCGGCAAACATGGCTACGGCAAAGCCAACGCTGTTCTCACTGGACAGCCCGATGACATCGTTGTGCTTGACGCCCAGTTTCTGAAGTATTTGGGCCAATCGCACTATCGATTCGTACATAAACTTGGCAGTATATTCCGTGCCAGTGACAGCATCAATCATGACAGTTTGGTCGCCAAAGCTCTGGTATTTGTCCAAAATAAACTGTCCCAAGGAGCGATAATCCTGCGCCACCCGTACGGGTATGGGCCCGCCGTAAACAATATTACCAGGCAGCAGCGTTGAAGTCATGATGAACTGCAACAAAAAAAAAAAAATGAATTATAGCCAAAAGCAAGGGTGGTTTTCCTCTTACAGCAAACCTTTGAATACGCTTAAATAATTAATTAATGCTCTTTCTTTTTCTTTAATACACTTTGAACCTGCTTAATCTTATCGAATGTTTATTAAAAAAGTTTAGTTTTAGTTAAATGATTTTCCTGCTGCTATCTACGAAAGGCATGAGATTGAGGGCCGCTCCAAAGGTCATCGTTTGCCCCCTGGAGACAGCGTGAGGTGACATCCAAACTTTGGCCGTCTAACTTTCTCAAGCACAAATTGCTTAGCATGGTTTGCATTTTTAATTAACAAGTAGTTGTTTTTTTTTTCTTTAATTAATCAGCTTACTTCAGAAAATGTTGCGCTTAAGACTTGAAGAGAGAATTGGCACACTCCGTTATATTGCGGCTTCCACAACTAACTGTTCTTGACACAAAAGGCGCAGATCGAATAGCCCAGCTTTTATGCTCAGATTAGATTAATGCTACTGATAAGATTAGTGTGCAGCGCGCAGGCGCTTTAATAACATTCGCTGTGATTTAGTGTAAAATATTATATATGTATATGCAGCGAAGACCCACCTACTTTACAAATATTTTAGCAAGAGCGAGCTGAGAGTCGCTTATTGTAACATTTCGCTCATGTTTACATTTGTATCAGCTGTTCGAATTTAATGCGCGCTGGCAACGCTGCAACCCTGCTGCTTAACCGAACTTATCGATTTATCGATTCATCGATTGCTTTTGTTGTTGTTGTTGAGTGGAGAAAAACTAAGCAACGACGAAAGTTTTGAACGCTTTCTTTTTCAGTTACCATTAACTGACATTTCTTTTAAATAGTTTAAAACTCTCTTGAATATGAGCAAATGATCAATAGCTTTGTGATTACTTACAGTTGGTATACACTATTAATCTCAACTGGCGGCCGTAGCGCATTTCCAATTCGGCGCTGGGTTCAAAAATGCGCCTATGAGTGTATCACCCCGCCCATGAAATCGTAGCAATATGCATTCAGTGTTTGGCTGTTGCTGCTAATGTTGTTATTTTTGTGCCGACTGAAAACAAGATAAGCCTAATCATTTTCGAATTTGTACTGAGGAGAGTCCCATAGCACAATAATAATAATTGTTGAAATGAGCGCGTGCAAAATGCAAAAGTTTTACAAATTGGATATCAATCGCACCGAATGGGAAGTCCCTGAAACCTACCAGGAGTTGCAGCCGGTGGGTTCTGGTGCATACGGCCAGGTGTGCAAGGCGAGGATTCGTGGCACCAACATGGATGTCGCCATCAAGAAGTTGTCGCGTCCCTTCCAATCGACGGTGCATGCCAAGCGCGCGTACCGAGAGCTGATGCTATTGAAGCATATGGATCACGAGAATGTTATCGGCTTGTTGGACATCTTTCATCCGCATCCGCCGGACGCGACATTGGCAGACTTTCAGCACGTCTACCTGGTGACTCACCTGATGGGCGCGGACTTGAATAACATTATCAAAATGCAGAACCTGTCCGACGATCATGTCCAGTTCCTGGTCTACCAAATACTGCGGGGTCTTAAGTACATACACAGCGCTGGCGTTATCCATCGGGATCTGAAGCCGTGTAACATTGCGGTGAACGAGGACTGCGAGCTGCGTATTCTGGACTTTGGTCTGGCACGTCCAACTGAGTTCGAGATGACCGGCTACGTGGCCACGCGCTGGTACCGTGCTCCGGAAATCATGCTCAACTGGATGCACTACAGCCAGACCGTCGACATTTGGTCCGTCGGCTGTATTATGGCCGAGCTGATCACGCGGCGCACACTGTTTCCGGGCACAGATCACATACACCAGCTGAATCTGATCATGGAAATGCTGGGCACACCGCCGAATGATTTCATGCAGAAGATCTCCTCCGATAACGCACGGCATTATATAGATTCATTGCCGCCCATGAAACGCAAAGACTTCAAGGTTGTTTTTAAAGATGCCAATCCAATGGCGATTGATTTGCTGGAGAAGATGCTGGAATTGGACGCCGATAAACGTATTACGGCCGAGGAGGCACTTGCTCATCCATATATGCAGAAGTACGCGGAGCCAAGTGATGAGAGCACCTCGCCCTTGTATGATCAGAGTTTTGAGGACATGAATTTGACATTGGAAAAGTGGAAGGAGCTCGTCTACAAGGAGGTCCTCAATTTTAAGCCGCCTGCGTCCTTTGCCGAAGTCCTGGATAGCAATAAATGATGCCGGACAATGCGACAACAACTACAAAGTATTAGCAACAAAAATAATTTAGTTTAACGTTTTAAAAATTGCCCTTTTTACTTATATGTGATTCATATTATTGTTGTAAAATATTTGTTTTGTATTTTTATACTGTTTATACTGTTGTTACTTGAAAATTTGTTTAAAATAATAAATAAATATTATATTTTATTGTACATTTATATATATTTTTATTCTATTTTAAACTTAAACTTGTTTTTTTTTTAACTGAAAAAATGCGAAAATGTAAATTGTTTGTTGCTAAAAATGTCCACTAGAGCGCGCCACAAGTATATACTTTTATACTATTATAACAGTTACGGTATGGTTGCTGTTACGAGAAATAGCTGAACGTAAAACAACACTTCCCAACAGAAATTGTACTATAACAGTAGATGTTTTGCTTGAAACTTGCTTCCATGTTAATATAACAGACTGTTTTTATGTAGTTATAACAGAGTGTTAGACATGCATTACATGTTATGCCTACTTGGGGAACAGCTGTTTGGCGCAGCTGAGCAAACATATAACAGCTGAGCGTGAGCTCTGAGCGTGAAAAATAAAATTTGTATTCAACAAACAAACGCATCCCGATGTTAAAGCTTCGTGGTGTGTTCAGCCAATGCTTTTTTCTGAAGCGACACATTTCTGCACTTTACATAACCGGCGACAAAGCCAACGAGAACTATGTGACGCTGCAGCCATTCCTGGATTTCGCCGGCACATTCCGCGACAGAGCAGTGCTCGAGCAGAGCATCGCCAGACGTGGCCTGGCCATTAATCTGGACGAGGTGCTCACCAAGTACGCAACGTATCAAACACACCACGATCAGCTGTTGCGGCTGGAGGAGGAGCGCGATGCGATTACCAAGGAACTGAAGCTGCTGACGAAATCCGGCGGCTCGGCGGGGCAGCTGGAGGAACTGCGCGCGCGTGGCAAGGTGTTGCGCAACGAGGTGAAAGCCTTGAAACAAAATCTGTATCCCATCGAAGATGACTTTATCCATGACTTCTTGCATCTGCCCAATGGCTTGCATTCGCACTGCCCCCAAACGAATGTGGAGAAGCTCATTTACAGGCACAAACCGCCCCCGGCCGTTGCACAGGCGCCATGGCATTTGGATCGCAAGGAACTAGTGCATTTTGTGGACAACAATCGCTACTACATGATGGAGAAGGCGGCTCACTTCGATGTGGATGCCATGCAGGCGCTGGCACGCTACTTCGTCACGCACGGCGACTTTGTGCAGACCTCGAATCCGGACTTTGTGCGCTGTGTGCTGCTGGAGGCCAATGCCACGCCCCTGAGTCAGTACCATCTGGTGCGCGAGGAACACTTGCTGAACAAACTGAATACCGCATATCTAACGGGCGGCGGCGCATTCGAAAGCTTTCTCGGCACCCTGACCAAGCTGTGCGTATATCCTTCGGTGCTGCCGTTGCGCTATGTCGCCTGCGGGCGCAGCTATAATCGCGAGGAGGCGCTGGCCTACGGGCCCACGCCCAGTCTGTACACGGCCACGCAAACGAACGCGGTGCAAAGCCTGGTGGCCACCCAGACCGAGGCCGAAGCCGATGCAGCACTCGAGCACGTGCTAAATCTGGCCATCGACTTTTACAAATCCCTGGATATACCCTTCCGGATTGTGTACGTCACTGCCGAGAGGCTAACGCCGGCGGAGAGTTTGCGTGCCAGCATTGAGGTATATGCGCCATCCCTGAAGCGCTACGTTTGCGTTGGACGCATCAGCAACTATGGGGATTTTGTGTCCAAGCGAATCCTGTTCAGCACGCGCCGCGACAAGCACTACGATTTCCTGCATCTGGTGGGCGGCCCGGTGCTGTACACCACCAGGCTCATCGCGGCCCTCATCGAGCTGGGAGTCAAGCTGGAGGCCAGCAAATTGCCCGGCGCCCTGCAATTGGGGCCCAGCATGCAGGCCATGTCGCAGCACCAGCGGGATTTGCAAGAGTTCAAAGATCTTTTCAAATAAATATATGATTCCAACAGGCGAAACAATACATTGTTATATCCGTATACTTAGGGTTAACAGTAAGTAAAAAAGTTAAGTCCGTACATACAAAATTATTTACAAGCTAAGTTTAATCTCATGGTCCACTGGCCGACTGCCTACTCGACGCATCCACCACCACGGAGCCGGGTTAGTCGCTGCATTTGATTTGCATTTTGGGAAAACGTTGGCGAAAGTTCTCGCACTTGGGCGTTGTGAAGGTGAACGCATTCCTCGTGTCCTCCAGCACGGAGTTCGGACTGGATCTCAGCGCCTTCAGCACGTACGTTGTGTTATATTTCAATTTGCTAAACTCCAGCGAATCCTTCTGTAATCAAGCACACATAATGGGGCACATGAGATAGAATCTTTAAGCCGGGCTTTAACTGAATGTGAACCCGCAATTCCAGCCCTGTTCCTTTTAACCCTGGATAATTTTATTGTGTGACGCAAAGAACAATTTCTCTACGTTCTCTGGATGGTAAGTTATTAACTTTCAAGCAACCTTTTTTCACGACTTTTCCACAGCTGCGGGTGGAATGCCCCGCCTTAGATCGCGACTATTCCACAGTTGCGGGTGGAATGCTTCGAAATCCCGCCTAAGATTGCATTTTCATCACTGAAGTATTGATCGCCAATCAGTCTATCAATCAATCAAATTATCCATGAAATGAATTCATTAAACTTTTCAGTCTTGAAACATATTGTTTGCGAAATCTGTGAAATTCACGACTGCAATTGGATTTGAGTAGCCTATGAACCACGTACGTGGCGTCTCGCACGCAAACGTGTTTCACGTGTCGAATGAAACCCAAATCCAATTGACCAAATGACAAATGATTTCTGTAATGATTCGAGGGGCACGAACCGAGCTCGTGGCATGTGGCCGCGTTGTACTCACTTTGACACGGATGGCGCTGAATTCGCGGTGCTCGCATTTCGTTTCTTGGGGGCACAGCTCGAAGACTCTGCAATGCAAAATAATACAATTCCGGCGAATTGTTTATAAACAATCAAATAACATGAATAACATGTGTAAAACACAGTGGGGGGGGGGGGGGGGGGGGTGGGGAGGGGAGGGAGGGGACTGGCACTTACTTCTCCTTGTGTGGCTGGAATCCCAAAATTTGCACAATCATGCCAAATTTCCGGTTCAAACGGAAACGTACATCATAGGAGGAGGCATTGCCCAGCTCCGCGGGCGTCTTTGCCCGCCCAACCTCATTAATGGAGCTCACAGCTGGCGTCGAGCTGATCTCCTCCGCGACGGCGGCTGCGTGGCCGTGATGGTACTTGTGCCTGACATGGTGGCTGCTGCAATCGAGCGGAGCTGCATACGGTTCGTCCAACTGAAGCGTCGTGTTGTATAACAACGCCGTCTGCTCCGATTTCAGGCGCCGCAGCCCAATTATGGACATGGCCTGCACTTGTATATAGTACGAGGAGTTGGGACGCAGTTTCTTGATCTCGAACTGATGCGTCTGCAAATGAGTTTGATATTGATTAATCTGTGCCATGCTCCCAATTGTTTTATGATTACACGAAATCTTCTATCTTCGGCACGCCGAAGATTTAATACACTTGCAGGCCCAACCTTTTCATAACGCTCCAAGTGGTATGCCTGGTGCTAAGAAGCACAGGGAAAATAGTTAATGCCGAGTTTGGTTAAGATATCTTGAAGAACAAAAAAGTTTTCCATACAACTTAATTTTCGACCGAATGTTCCTATGGTAGCTATATGATATAGTGGTCCGATGTTGATAGGATTTGGCATAAATGTAAGGAACGTTAATTAACTTATAAATGGCGAGTTTCGTCAAGAAATCTTGATCAACAAAAAAGTTTTCCATACAACAACTTAATTTTCGACCGATCGTTCCTATGGCAGCTATATGATATAGTGGTCCGATGTTGATGGGATTTTGCAAATATATGAGGAGCATAGTAAAACTAATAAATGCCGAGTATGGTCAAGATATCTTGAAAAACAAAAAAGTTTTCTATGCAAGAACCTACTTTGGTTTCGACATATGGTCTGCTTTCAACAGAATGAAGCACTTCTGCAAAGTTTCGACGATAGCCTTAAAGCTGAGAGAATAGATCGCATAGAAACAGACAGACGGACTTGGCTATATCGACTCGGCTGTTGATTCTTGATCAGTGTTCAGATCATATATACTTTATGAGGTCGGAAATGTCTCCTTCTTTAGGCAACTTTAGTCGGAGTTTTAGCTAAATATTTATTTAATTAGTTTATTTTAATTAGTTAATTAGTTGGTTTAACACTTACATCCCTGACATAGGCAAAGAGAGTGAAGATGTGCTGATCCGTGCTGCTCACGTAGAGCGACCAGGTGATTTTATATTTTTCCACTGGCAGATTGGACTTGGACGGACACCAGACCACCTTGACGCTCACGGAGCGCCGTCCGTCGTAGTGCTTGGAGGTGACACGCACATCGTTGGGCGCCTTGGGCGGCTTGGGATCTGAAATGCAGAGCTGGGCTATTGAGCTGGTCAAGATTAGGACGGCGACAAGCTGCACTTACTGCTGGCCAGGGTAAAGGCGTGCGAGGGCTGCGAGTAGCCGCGGAATCCGTAGGCATTCACCGCCGCAACGCGCACCTGATACCAGCGACCGGGTCGTATGTTAAAGAAGATATCCATGCTATGGTCAAAAATATGTTTGCATGTTAGATTTGCGGCATCGATATAACCGTGGCGTGAGTACCTACAATTTGCTGGGTCCGTCGCGCGTCTCCAGTATCTTCTCGACCTGCTGCGACTGCCACATGCCCAGCTTGCGCGGCGTAAAGATGCGCCCGATATGCGAGCGCACCTCCACATGGAAGTAGCAGGGCAGGAGCGACAGCTCAATGGTCAGCTCCACCTTGTGGCTGCGCGGCAGCTTGTAGCGCAGGATCTTTGGTATGGGCGGCAGCTGGCTGGCGTTGCGCACGCCCAGCGGCTCGGCGCAGACGGGGCCGCACGCGGAGGCGCAGCACTTTTGCACCTCGACGCAGTCGTGGTCGTAGACACAGTTGTCCAGACAGGAGAGACGCGCCTGCCGCGCGAGCAGCGTGCTGCTCGGACAGCTGCCGGCTCGGGGCGCACGCAACAGCTCCAATTTGCACTGGTCCAGGCAACGCTGGACTGTGGCTGGGGTGTTGTTCTCGCAATTGGCCAGGCACTGCAGCTCCGTGATCTTCTCCTTGATGTCGGTGCTGTCGCGCTGGCGTTGATGCATCGCTGCGTTGCTCGCATTCGAGGCACGGCTGCCCAGCAGGGCCAGCGCCAGCGCCAACAAGATCGGCAGCATCTCAAACTCTCGGGTGGCTCGAGCACCTGATGCCAATCTGTAATGAATGTATGCCAGATAATCAGCTCTCCATCTCCATCTCCAGCTTCAGCTCTCGCTTGGGCTTAACGCATTCCGTGCATTCATAATTAACAGCATTTATGCATGTTGATTATGCTGAAGGATCGCTCGAACCGGTTTATTCCATTTCGCCTGACCAACTAACTAATCATTCTGCGCATTTCTGCCCCGCCCCGCCCCTCCCGCCTGCTCTCAACTCCAAGTGGCAGCAATGAAAATGCAAAAATACATAAATGTATCTCAAGTGCTTGACAGGACTTCAAAGCGCGCATCACGGTGCGTGCCACGAACGCACCGCTCAGTTAGACGAACTACAAAAGTTTCCAATACCGACTGCCATGATACCCTAGCTAAGTCAAAACAATTTGTATTCTGATGTGCTTTGAACAATATTAAATGCTTATTTCTTTTAAAATGATTTTCTACTTTTCTTGCAAATTCTACGGTAATTTTCCTGAGAAAGGTTGCAAAATAAGTTTAATTTTTCTATTACCAAAAGAAATGCACACAATATTTATTAAAGTAATACATTAAATCTTGAAAAAATTAAAGAAAATATTCAAATGTTCAACTATAATAATTCCTATTTTCCAAAGAAAGCAAACATTTTCTAAAAACATGTTCTATTTAAGTACAAAACTCTCTCGCAAACTGGAACACTTTAGTTCTGGAGTTGATTCGAAAAAATTCGAAATTCTAGAAAGTCCTTATATATTGAAATACATGAAATATTTAAGCAAAATAATGCAAACAATGTTTCATAGTATAATAATAAGTGCTTCTTCTTAATTCTGTCTGTCAAAAATATATATACTCGCAACTTATTAATCTCAATAATAATAATGATAATAGTAAGAAAGCAAGGACTATTGTTTAAGGACAACAGATTGAAACGGTTGATTTGAGTGCTTATACAATTATTTATTTAATGTTTGATATTTCAGTTATTAAAAGTGTCACAGATTTATAGTCACGTAAACAAAGCGTAGCCTCATTTGATATGTTACATTTGAATGTAGCTAAATGACATACACATATGTATGTATAAGCTGTCATTCCTGGTACTGGACAGTTGCGCATTGCTCCGGCTAAACGGCATTCCTCTGTTTGCGCGGAATTGACTGCTAAGCCAACCTTTTAAATTGGCATGCAGCTTGCCAACCCCACATAGGGTATTTAGCACGCAAATGGGAAACTAATGTTTTATGGCTTGGTCGATGCTGCCCCAACTGTGTGTGCGTGTGTGTGTGCATGTTTGTGTGTGCGTGTGAATGTGAAGCAAAGAAAATAAAATAAAGATGAATGTGCACATGCAAGTGGATGTCACCAGATTCACAAGCACAAGCACACACACACACACACACACACACACACACACACACACACACACACACACACACACACACACATGCACACACTCGTAGAGCAGCAGCCAGCATATAGCCGGGACGGAGATCTCATCACAGAAGCCCAGCCAGCCAGGCAGCCGGCAGATGCCGCACATGCCAAGACGATACAGATACAGACACTCTGGGCACTCTGGCGGGCCAAGGAACGGGAACAGCAGCAGCAAACGCAACAGAACAAACGGCGCGACACTAGACGAGGAGCGGCAGGGGGCGGAAGGGGGAGCGAACGCAGACGCAACAGAGGGACATTAAGCGACAAATGAATGTGCGACGATCGGCGGCAACAACAACAACAACAACAACAACAACAACAACAAGAATAAGCACAGCGCTGATGACAACAAGATGAAATGCAGCAAGTTCCGCGGAACGCAAAATTTGCAACAAAATTGGGCAGTAAATCGGGCAAAAGCAGCGCTGTCATATGGAATGGCAGTCGCAGTCGCTGTCGCCGTCGCCGTCGCAGCCAGGATGGCTGACTGGCTGTCTGCCTGGCTGGCTGCCGCTGCGTAGTGGCAATTAATTGCTTTTAACGATTCAAAAATTCAAAATTATCTTTTTATGCTGCGCACACACATAGCAGAGCACACACACGCACACACTTACACGCGCGCGCACGCACACATGCACGCGCGCGCACACACACACACACGCCTTAGGCAGCGAAGCTAAACGATCCGGATCGATTTCGTTGACGTCGCTGCTGCTGCTGCTATGATAAATCGTTGGTGGTAGTTGGCTTTTGTTAAGGTCTGCGTTCTTCGGAGCTTAGCACAATAGCGCTTCGGGCCCGAGGCTGAGCCACTGACTGCGATTGCGACTGCGGCTGCGACTGCGACTGCGACTCTGGAGCTGGCGACAATGGCCGGGCAGCGAAGCATCAACAACAGTGTGTAATATGATGCAAATCGTTTAACACTTTGACCAACAACCAGCAACAACAGTAGCAACAACAACAGCAACAACAACAACATCGTCATCGCATTGTTGCTGCTGCTCAAGTGCACTGGCAGCCGCACATAAAAAGTTTTTACGTTAAAGTAAACGCAAGAAGAGCAAAGTAAACTGCCAAACGGGGAGGCTGGAATCGTCATTAATCTTGCGCATGCCACGACGATCGGATGCTCTACAATTGCGCCACTATACAAACTAGTTGGATATGAACATTTTCAACACTATGTAGAGTTTTATAATTAAGACTATCATTAAATAACATAACATTATGTTTGTTTGGTTTGAAAATATAATATTATAACCTAAATATTACCTAAATTATATAATAAACTATAGCTCTGCAATATAGTTTAACAAACTGCCTAGAACAAATTCTTTGTGTGCCTATTTAAATTTTCAACATGTTCTCAGCTCACAAATTACTATATTTAACTTTAGGAGGAGCTATTATATATGTGCAATTAGTTTAAATTAATTAAATATCCTACAAATTTCCTATTTTTGGGTTAGAGTTTTATATCAATAAATATTATTATGATTTTTTTTTAGTTTAAAACACACAAAATTACGCAAATTATTTTGAGAAATTCTTAAAAATTGTGTGCTTATCTAATTTTGTAAATAACTATATTTAACTTTAGCAGCAACTATATATAAATGTGCTATAAGATTAAATACAGCTCCAATTTATAGAGTAATTATAGCAATTATTTGCAATTAACAGAAATCAATTCGGAAATATGCTTAATATATGATTCAGAAGATTTAAGATACGAGTTTAGAAACTAATTTCGCTCGTTAGTAAGCATATTTTGGGATTTCTCTATCTTAATTTCAATTCAATTTAGGGAAAAGAAGTATTAACGTGTTATGTCTGTTTGAATTCGACAAAAATCCTGCGTCTTAGTTGTGTATGATGTATGCCCCACAATATATCCTAAAATGTTTGATAGGTAAATGTTTGCATTTCATCTTAGTTTAAGAATGTAAAGAAATTATATATAAAATACATTTAACATTTTTTACATTCCTATTTAAATTTATATTATAGTATTTCTTATATTATTATTTTCATACTATAAACCAAAAATTATTCTTGCTGTTATCTCAAGAGTCTTGAGTCAAGACTTTATGTCTAATTAAATAATTAATTAATTCGTGGGAAAATTACGGCACATTTGTATCTAAATGTTAATAAAAAAAATGTCAATCTAATGTACACTATATGATTTTCAACTCCTAAATTTGTATAGCTTGAAGCTAACTCGTGAATCATTTTGAGTCCGAAATTTTCTATTAACAATTACAAGAAAATAGAATCAGTTGAAGCTTCTCACATTACGCTAATTTGTCATTGGAAGTATGAAGCGATCCGATCTGAAATTTCAGGCCAGCATTTGCGGACAACAAAAAAGATCTCCAATTCCAATTCTGGGCTAATTTTGCAGTCGCTAGCAAAGTTCAGGTTCAGGGAATTGGATGCGGTTACTTCCGATGCAAAGGGTATGGCGCTGACGACTTTGCCACGCCAAGTGTAGCTTGTATGGCCGGTGCGGCGTTGCATGTCACCATGGCATCCCCATCTTCGGCTGCCCGCAGCTGCCCCGGCCCACATAGCTACCCCTACCGCACCGTTTGCCGCAATTAGCACGAAGGCAATCTCATTTTACGCCGACCAAATTGCGCAAATGGCAAGCAAACGAGCCGAGCCGAGCAGGGCCGGGCAGAGCATTTTGTTTTTGTTGTACTTACACTTGACGCACAATGAACGAAATGCCGCTGGCAACCACCACCCCAAGGAGTGGACGCAGAATTTAGCACTTGGTCTCAAAACGCCAACAATCTGGCAACACCCTGTGTACAGCACAATTGGCGAGAGGCTTCTTCCTGTGATCGATCGCGCGCGCGTTTATTATTTAATTAAGTTTCGATTTTATCTGTTCGCTTTTGCACTTCTCGACTGCGACTGCGACTGCAATTGCGGACGCGGACGCGGCTACTGCTTCTGCGTGTTGCGACCGACGTGTTGCACCCACAAAGACTGACTGACACACTGAGCGAACGACCAATTGCATTGCATCTGGATGCTGAACATAGTTTGTGCGCTCGGCCCCACTCGCTCGCTCGGCTGCTCGGCAGCTCGTTTGCGCTCGATTTTTTATGTTCGGCTCTCGCGGCGCTCGTGAAAGCGTGTGGCTGGCGCTCATGCTCCCAAATGCGTCGCTGCTTCGTGTGCCGCTAGCAGCGCAGCAGTGCCAAAAACAAAAGATCGCATTATTTATGTTTCGCTCTGCTCCTTCGCTGTTGTCTTCTTCTTCCTCCTGCAGCGCCCATTCATTCAGAGTTTCATTAAAGGATGCATAAGTATGTGTGTGTGTGTGTGTGTGGGTGTATGTACTTGTTGTTGCCCTACTAATGTTTCCATTGTTGTTGTTTTTGCATGCACCAATTATTTTATTGTATTTCACATAAGTAGCATAAATTCTTCTGCTTAATCTGCGTCACACATATTTACATTCGCACTTATGCACTGTATATATATTTGTCTGTCTGTTTGTGTGTGTGTGTGTACATATGTTTATGTTGTAATTACAACGGGCACCTCAAAGCATATGAGATTTTGATTTTTTTCATCTTTGGCCTCCCAGAGCATGCTGCCCTTCATCTGCAACCAAAGCAGTGGTGAGTAAAGGAAGAGATAAATATTCGAATGAAACTCACCACAGGCAATGTTGGATTCACATAGATGTTGGCCCAATAGCTTTTACTATCATTCACGTTCAATATGCAGTTGTGGTCGCCATCGCAAGGATCGGGAGATATGGCCGCTTCAGTCTTGACATAGGTGAAGACCCAGCGTACCTCGTGCTTCAGAAAGGAAACACCATTGCCTGCAATAAAAAACATTAGACATTAACATTAGATCAGGATATACGTATATTTTCTACACAATTAGATAACAGTTAACTTAACAGAATTTAAAATTCTGTACGACGAAGTAGAGGGAGAGAGAGAGAAAGAGAGAGAGAGTTAACATTTTTCCATTTTACTAAGAAACGCAAATATTAATTGACTTGGTACTTTAGATTTCACATTATAGATCGCAAAATAAATTAAGGTACTTGAGTGTTTATCAGCTTCTGGTCTCAGAGTTCTATTGGGCCTGTGTGCAGTACGCTGGAATTATTTGCTGAATAATCAAAACACAGTAAAGCTCTATGTGGTCTATTTATATATTCAAAATCAATAATATCGCTAACCCAAATTGCATTGGGCAAACACACACACACACACATACATACTTACTTATCTATATGTATATGCATGTATTGCACATTTGTACATGGGTATTATTTTGATTTACACGCCCATTTGATCAATTATTTTTATGACATGCATAACAGCACTTTATCGCCGTCTTCGTCGATTCACACGATTACCTTCCCCCCCCTCCTCCTCCTCCTCGCCACATCAGCTACCGTTAGGTACTACAGTTACTTCCCCCACATGCGTATCTTCGCCCTCGCTAAGCTATTTCTGTTTCCGAGTACTGCGCGATTTGGCGAGAGAGCTTATAAAAGAATTTAAATGCATGATCCCCCGTTATCAGCAAATATTTACCGTTATCATCGAAGAGCACCGTAACCTTAACAGTGGAATCGCGAGCCATAGAACAGGGCACCTTCGTACAGCTCTCAATGTTCAGGTAGTTCACATGATATAGGGAACCTGCAAAATCCACAAGATTAATAATATATACATGAATACATATATGCGAATGCATTCCTTAGAGAAATATACAATATTATTCAACTAGTCTATATGTATTTGTTGTTATATAAAAGGCGAGTTTTGGATGGAACTTATTTACAAGTACGTGCATTCCGTGCATACTAAACGCTTCGTTGCCAACATTATAAGATATTGGGGCCAAAACGAATGCGACGCCATTTTGTGATGGATATGTAAAATGAAATCAAACAGAAAACTTATCTCGGACGTAGAGTAGATAAAATACTCCTGAAAGATGAAGGATTCGAGAAGGATATTCGAGATTCTGTCGTACTAACTCTGAAAACAGCTACAAATATGAAGAAGAAACTTATTAAAATTGAGGAAACGTGGAAAAGTGGACTGAATTACTGTAAATATTGGAAATATTTTGCGACTTAGGGCAAATTTTTACTGCTTTTTAACAGTATATATAAGATATAATTGGAATTAAAGTTTTAACAAATATTCATAATAATGTTTCAATATGGTAAAGCAAAAATAATCGAGCTCTTCTCCTTGCTTCTCAAATGTATTGTCGAAGTCAAAAAGAAGTCTCTGTAAACTATTTTTCATTTAAACAAAAAGGACTCAAATATTATATGTATATGTGCTCAAAAATGTGTCCTTGAATTCGTTACACATTTTTCTTGAGGTATATATAATTAATAATTAATAAGTATATATCTAATTAAGCCAAGAGATTTAATGGACTGGCATTGCTTGCCGCTACATTTTCGAAAATCCCATAAAAGTATAGTATTCATCTATAAATGTCTATAATACGTCTGGTCATCATTTATAAGACAAATAAAAAGTGTAAAGTAATGATGATTTATTAGACTTTGTCTAACGTTATAAAATGATTAGTTTTTTATGAATTATGATTATTTATTATGATTAAAATCAATAACAAAAAAAACCAAAACCTGTTTCATTTTTTTTTCTTCTATTTGTGAATGGGAAACTTTTGCAATAAAAAATTGACACTGATTAATGTCGTAATTCTTGCATATCAGCATAGACGATAGACGTCTTAACTATTCCAAAATGTTGTGGCTATATTTAAATTATAAAAATTAACAAAAAAAAAAAAAGATTGAAGATTATAAACAATGAAAAGAAATGAGTAATTATTAAAGAAGGCGATTCCGGGCATATTATAATACAAAAAGATATAAATATTGTTTGATAAATGCAGAAAGCTTGTTTTGCAGCATAGGCAAAGCATTTCGTAGATAATATGTACAATTATATTTACTTAATATTTAAACATATTATATGTACATGCTGCGATTTCTATTCAATACTCACTTGAGCCTGCTATTTAAAATAAAGTTGATACCGTTTTTGCCAATGTGTCCAAGAAAATCGAGTATAATTAATATTAAAAGGAAATTTGATCAGCTTCAATCGACTTAAAACCTTATTGTGGATATATATTTTGTAGCTCAAAACAAAGAAAGGTTTCAATATAGAATCAGATTGTTATAAATATTGTATAACATTTCCTAATAATAACAATAATAATAATAATAATAATAATACTGATAATAATAATAATAATAATAATACTGATAATAATAATAATAATTATTATTACAATGATAATAACAATGATAATAATAAAAATAATAATAATAATACTGATAATAATGTAATAATAGTAATACAGATAATAATAATAATAAAAACAATAATAATAATAATACTGATAATAACAACAACAATAATAATAATAATAATAATTATAACAATGATAATAATAAAAGTAATTATAACAATGATAATAGTAAAAATAATAATAAGAATATAATACTGATAATAATGTACTAATAATAATACAGATAATAATAATAATAACAACAATAATAATAATAATAATAATAATAATAATAATAATAATGATAATAATAATAATAATACTGATAATAACAACAACAATAATAATAATAATAATTATACCAATGATAATAACAATAATAAAATAATAATAATAATAATAATAATAACAACAACAATAATAATAGTAATAATAATAATAAAAAATAATATTCTACCATATCTTTCAATATCAATAACAATATTCATTCCCGGATTGAGCTCAACGAGGATTGTATCCGCCTGGCGAAGGAACACCTAAGTACTCACCGCAATCCTCAAAAGGTAGCGAGCGCAAGGACAACAGCTTCTTATAGGCATCATTTCTGCTGATCCTCATGGCATTGGCGGCCGATTCGTGGACAACACAAATGGCCCAGAGAATTTTCAAGTAGTAAACAAAATAGCCGCGCATGGCCAAAAACCGTTTGTGGCAACAGATCGCGGCACAATTTTCGCACAAAAAATTTCGGATGTGATTGTAACAAAGGTAAACGATAATGCTGGGCTACTTTTTTTTTTGGTTAATCTAACACGCGACAAATAGTACTCTGATACGTTTGGCTTCACAGCTAGCTGGTGACTGACGTAAAGGCACGAGCTACTGGCCAACTTGTGGCAGTTGGTAGCGTTTAACTGGCGGTATCTGCAATTCGGGAATCGTCATTAAATTCAATTGTAAATAAATAATTTGTGTATACTTAGGCAATAAACTTTGATTTATTGGCTGTGAACGAGCTGTCGACTGATTAAATTCGATCCGTTTCGGAGCCGTTCCCATAGTATTTGGGACATGACGAGAGCTACAACTAATGAAAAATGAGCAATGATGGCTGATGAATAGATAAAAATATATCAAGCACTTGAGTTTAATTGAAAACTGAAGCATGTACTTTGTTACTTGATCATGTTTACGTTTATATAAATAAATACACAAAAAGTAAATTGATTGGGACAAATTTGGGAATGTGACTCAGCAGCGGATTCGCGTCTGCCAATTGTGCTATTCGATGATCCCCTTCAGATAGTTTGTATTCTTAATGACACGAAAATCGGTGCGCAGTTGGATGAATTGCCGCACCACCGACTTGTCCAGATAGTTCTGTGCCAATAAAGAGCGAAACTGTTTGAAACGATCGTCTATAAATATCACATATCACCTACCAGAGTATCGCCTGTGCACACCTCTTGAAGGTTTTGTGGCTTCACCAATAGCAAGTTGCACAGAGCGTGTAGTATATCAAAGAGCTGAGTCACCAATGGACTCTCCAGCTCACGTATACACTTTCTGTACTCGTTCACATCGCAAATGGCGCACATGGCGCCCGCCGTATTGAATTGCATTGTCTGCAAATGGTCGTAGATGATGCGATGGAGTCGGGTTCCGAACTCTGTCAGCACGTTTTGCAGATTTTCGCCATCCACGCACTTCTTTATCTGCACAATAACTGGCTGCAGACTCTGCACAACTTGAAGGCACGCCTGTGAAAGAATAGCTCATGGTATTATGTGCGTAGGATCATGGAGATCAAATTCTTACAGCCGATGAGATAGTATCTACATCTGTTTCGGGCTTGTAGTCCGTTTTCTTCTGCTCGTACTGCAGATAGACCTTGACCCAGCCAATTACTGCGCTTATCGAGCGATCCAGACCCTGATCCAGTTTCGTTTCAATTTGTTCCATCAATATGCGCTTCTTAAACACATAATCCGAGTATTTTGGTGTGTTGCTGCAAATGCAAATAATTTGTACAATTCTCAATTAGATTAACTTGTATTCGTACCTAACGCAGGGTATAACTGAGGAATTGCACAATTTATCCAGCAAATGCACAATGATATTGGTCTTTTGCACCACATCGAAGAAATACAGCTGGGGAAATACTTTGCCCTCCGCCAATGGCACCGCCTGCAGACCCAACTCCAAGGCATAGTCGACATGCTCGTGCATGAGAAACCGTAACAATATATCATTCAACTTGATCGCATTGCCGGGCAGCTCCGCCTCGCTGGAGAGCAATCGGCAACGCTTGAGGGATGCCTTTGCCTCTTGCAGCATATTGATGGCCAGCTCCTCTGATAGAAACGTCTCCCCACCATAATCCTCAATGACAGCTATGTTAATGTTGGCTCGCGTTGCAATGAGCACCTCCATGTTGCGCCGAAAACCTTTTGTGGTCTGTGTCTTCTGATGCTTCTTGCTCGCATAAAACTTCTCCAGCTCCGACGAGCACTTGGCCGTCAGGCATTTGAGCTCAATTTCAGCATAGCCCGCAAGGTTCTTCATGAAGATTTGTTGTGTGAGCTTGTGGAGCAGATCATCATCGATGGTGGACATGTAGACTTGTAGATCGCTGGACAGTTTTAAGGTGCTGAAAATATTACGATATTGAATATTGAATGCAATCTATAAATAAGCTCCGTCTTACCGTGAGTAGAGCTCATAGAGCGTGCGTAGATACTTCTCCTCGTCCTTTTTATCGTCCAACTTGGTCATGGCATACTGATGCAGTTTCAATTGATAGATATTTAGAATAAACTTGGACATGACCTGCTGCGGATTGGCGAAGACCTTCTTGATTATCTCATAGTGATGCTTGCACATGGGCACTATGCCAATGAATATATCCTTGCCGCTATACGGCTGCATTTGGCTCTGCTCGATATAGGCATCCACACACTGCGTGTAGCCCTTGAATTGGGATAGGATCTGGGCCAGCGACTTCATGCGCTCGATATCCTCGCTCTTTTGTGCCGCGGCGAACTCTTCGATCAGTCGGCGCTCGACTTCATCGTATTTCTTTTCAATTTTCCGCTTGGACTCGGCAAAGTTGCCCGGCGGCAGGTCCTGTGAAATTGCGTACAGCTTCTGTATAACATCCGCTGCTTCGTTTAAGCGCAGCGGATCGGTGAATACATCATTGACTATGACGGGCCCGGCCATTAGGAATTCGGACATGTAGCTGAGCAATTTTTGTGCCTCCACCGAACGACTACGCGGCGTATTCACATTCTCCAACTGCTCACCCAAATGCATTATCTTGCCAGCCACAGAGTTGATCTTCTCGTCCAGCTGGCCAAACCAATCGATGGCCGTTTGGTGTCGTTCTTGCAGCTTCGAAATTTTCTTGGCATGCGAATCCTGCTCCTGGTGCAGGGATTCCTCGAGGCGTTCGCACTTGCTTTGCTGCTTCTCCTGCAGAATTTTCAAATCCTTAATCGTTTGTATGAATGTGTCGTGCAATGCCACAGGATTGAAATCCTCGCTGTTCTGCAGCTCATTGTTGGTGCGCCAGGTCAGACGTTCAATAAATTCGCCTACCTCGAAGGGCTCCTAATTTTGGTGGGATCGAATTATATGCTGTTTGTAGTGCGTGTTGCCTTTGGTCTATGCATACCTGTTCAAATTCCTCCATATATTGCGACAACATAATTTTTTTGTTTTCGAGGCGTTTTTCGCTGATTGTTGAGTTGTTCTTCCTCTTGCTACGTTTAGTACAGAAAACAGCTGTTGGCGCTGACAACTTTTCGCACAGCTGGCAACGCCGAACATCTGTTGCGCGCAAGCGAAATTTGAATTTTGCGCCTTTGTCTCTCCCAGCTTTTTATAGAGTTGCCAGCAGCGGAAAATGTTTAACCTATTTATGTTGGACAACTTTTCGCACAGTTGGCAATGGCGACATCTGTTGCGCACAAGCGAAATTTGAATTTTGTGCCTTTGGCTCTCCCAGCTTTTAATAGAGTTGTCAGCAGCAGGCTATGTTTAACTTATTTATGTTGGTACTGCCGCAAAATGTTGTGCTCAAATTCCATTCAAATTTCGCGCCAATGTTACATAATGTCGAGATTCATTGAACAAATTAAATTAGTCGAAGACAAAAACTAGTTTTTAACATGTTTATTGTTAAATCAATATGCACTTGAAATATTTTTATTTAAATGTTTCATCATATCAAAACCTATTTTCGTTTTATTACTTTTTTTTTTTTTTTGTACAATTTTATACGACAAAACACATTGCAATGTGCCAACAAGTTAAAATTTCAAACGTTTATAATCGTTATATATATAATTATTGCGCGGACTCTGCGTTTTATTAAACTTTAGTTGCAGTTTTTTAAACTGAATGCGAAAAACCCTGAACAATTCGTTTCATATTCCGACATTAATTTTTTTTGGTAGTGGAGACGAAAAAAGAAGAGATATTTGTAGCTATTTTTGATGCATATTTAATTTATAGTTGATGCTTGTCCTTTCCGACGACCATATCTTTCTGTTTATATAATTGACAGCCTTGTGTACTTTCTGTTCTGTTTGCATCAAGTTCCTACTGCTGACTCTGCGCTGGCTGCTGCTCCTGCTGCTGTTGCAAATGTAAATGTGGATGTGGATGTGGCTGTGGGTGGGTATGTTGTGTGTGATTTGATGTCGTAGGCAGGTCCAATTCTTGCGGCAATGCTGCCGTCGCTGTCGTCTGCATAATGTTTATAGCGCTAGCAGTGCCTGCCGACGTGGCCAAGTCAATTGCCGGCATGCGCGCATTGTCTTCGTACAAGCTCGTGCCCGTGCCGGAGCCTGTGCCGCCGGCCATGCTGTTTAGAACATCCGGCATCGAAGGCGGCTCGAGCAACTGTTGAAGATTTTTTAGCTCCGTGGAGCGCAGGCTAGCTGAGAGACTTTCACTAGATGCCAGCGACGTGGAGAGCGGCGAGTTGCGCTCCATGGACGAAGCGATGTCTGCAAACACAAACTTGGTCAATAAACGAGAAATGGGAATTATTGATATCAAGTGCTCACCAGTACGGTCGGTGTCCGGCGAGCAAGTGGCGTGGCCCACTGCGCTCTGTGGCTGCTGCATCGACAGCATGAGCTTCTCCTCCATTTGTACAATGATCTTCTTTTGAATGTCGTATTTTTTGTTCACCGACTGGAAGGAGGTCATATTGTATATTCGCTTAACTCTGGCTTCATCATTTATTACAGCTTACCTTAAACATTTCCTCGTATTCATCCTTGACGGTGCGCAGCAAACGCTTCTGCTCGGTGATGACCTTCTCGCTGTTGACCAACTGAGCCTGTTGTTCGCTGATTTTGTGCCTGGTGCTTTCGAGCAGAGATGTCTTCTCATCCAAGTTGTGCTTTAGCTCTGTGGGCGAAATAACGATCGGTTAGGTACACTTTCTATGCCTTTTTTTTGAAACCTACCCTTTAGCTCTGCATTGTAGCTCTCTTGAAGCAGCTGCAGCTCCTCGTCGCGCGCACGAAAGTTATCAATTTCGGCCAGTCGATCCCGACAACGCACCTGCACCTCGCCCATGATAATAAACTCTGCCTCCAAGCGCGCCAGCTCCTGCTTGCATTGCAGTCCCATGTCCGCTTGCTGTTGGGCACGTTGCAGCTCCGTGCTCATGGTGAAGATTTGACCGCGCAGAAACTCCACCTCGTAGTTGATCTCCTTGCGCTGCTGCATCTCGGAGCTGAGACGCGTTTGCAGATCATCATTTGCCTGCCGCAGACATTTATTCTGCTCCAGTTCGTGCTGATATTTGGACTTAAGGTCGGCCAGCTCCAGGTTGTAGTTGTTTTGTCGCTCATTCGACTGCCGAATAGCCGAGTCCATTTTCAGGGCCAGATCGCGGTTCTTCACAACAAAGTTCTTAAGCTGTTCATGCAAACGATCCCGCTCCATTTCCAGACTACGCTTGTCACGACTGCGTCCCATCAGGCGGCGATTGCGCTCCGCGTGAATGCTGCGTCGATAGCGCTCGTACAGAAGCTGCAAGCACGTCAGATGGTATTGCTCCTGCAGGGACGAGACAGTGAGATTGGATGTTGCATCGGAACTATCCTTGGCGTGTACGGAGCGCATTATGTACTGATCGAGTATGTCCTGCGGGTACAATTGACTTCTTTCGTACTTATTGCGCTGCTCCTTGCACTCGAGCAACAGCTCAACGAGCCAATTCTCGTACCGTGATGGCACCATCTCTATTGTCTGCACCTCCTGCGACTTGCATGCAATCCCGGTCGCAATTTTCGCTGTTACCATGGTCAGCATGCGGCCGCTACGCTGCAGTCGGCTGCCGGCCAGCCCAGTCTTTTGTGTTTGCACGCAATTCCCATTGCCATTATTCTGCGGCAGCGTCGGGCAATCGGTTTCGTCATCATCTTCATGCTGCAGGCCGGCTAGAGCCGAGCACGATTTGGTGCGTCGTATTTGCCTGTCCTCCGGCGCGCTGTTTAATGCTGCCCGCTTGGACGCTGTGCTGCCAGGCCAGCCGCTGGTATTGCTGCTCTCGTTGCAGCTAACCATGCGATTTCGTCGCCTGAAGCCCTTGACCAGCTGATGCATGGACCGGCTGGTGGGCATGTGTAGGCCCCCATCGCTGCATAGGCTGCGATCCGTTTCGTTGCAGTCGCCGCAAACGGTGCCCCTTAGTTCCTTGGTGTCCCAGGTGTGCAGCGTCGCCTGCACAGCATTCGGACCGGTCGGGCAAAGAGTAGCCGTGAGCATTGTATCTCTGAGCTCTGGAAGCTCACCTTGCTGCATTTTATTGATGTCAGGAAAGTGGAACTGGCTTTGCTGATCCTTGCGCATGGGCGAAGATGGTTGGCTGCTACCAAATATCGCGCGCACCGCATGTGAGTTGGGCAGCTGCTGCTGCTGCTGCTGTTGGTGTTGCTTAAAGTCGCGCAAATCTTTCAATGGTGTTGTCTCCGGCGTAGCCTCGACAGCTGCCTCCGGCGGCGAAGAGCCTGTCGCAACAAGCAGCTGCGCGCTGCTGCTGGACGGCAAAATAAACGGCGGCGTCGGCGTCAAGGGTATAGCAGTGCTGCCGGTAGCAGCGGCTATTTCGTTATGTGGACTCCAGATCGGTGTGTTGCCGCTCTCGGCCAGCGCCGACTCAAAGCGTCGAACAGGTGCGCCAATTAGCTGCTGTGCACTTAGCTGATTGCTAATATTGTTGTGCTGATCGCTGTAAGAGTTGGTCGAAGTCATGCGACTAAAGCTGGGCGTGCTGCAGGGATAGGCGGAGTTGATGTCCTCGTTTGTGGAATCGGGATGCAGCACGGGCAGCGACAAGTGTGCACACTCCATGACCACATCGTGTGGTTCCATTTCCTTCCAACGGGCGTTGCTCACCTCTGTTTCAATGGTGGCCGTCAAGAGCATCGGATGCACGCGCACCGTGTCCAGCAATGGTTTAATCGTATGTTGGAAGATGCCGCCCTTGTCCTTCTTGATGAATTCCGACAGATAGCTGAGGAAATTGCACGGATACATGCCATACAGGCGATGAAAGAGCATTTGCAAGCCCAATTGCAAGTGGACCAGCTTCTCATCCGGCAGCCTATTCACGTTTTGCGATTTCCATGAGGCCAAATGTCCAAACACGTCAAACAGATCGTTCAACAGGTTCGGCACAGAGTTCGGTATTATGGGCAACAGCGTAATTATGCACAGCAGCGCGCTCATCAACGGCACAATATCTTTCTCGTGCTAAATGGACAATATTAGTAAAAGATTAGGGGCATATAAAGATGAAGATTCGGGCTAATCACTCACCATGAGCAGCTTGAATACGCTCTTTATGAGGCGATGCTTCTCGATTTTGTGCAACCAGGTGGGATGGCGTCGCACAATGAAACAGAAGACATTTAGCGCCTGCACGCGAAACTGTTGCTGCTTGAGCCAGTCGTCCAGGCGATCAAATATGTAGCCATCGTGTGGAGGCTGTGCCTTTACCAGCACTTCCATGATGCGCATTGAGCCCGTATTGATGTAGTAGTCCAGCATGTAACGCACTGGCCATTGTTCCTTATCTATGGGTTGGGAGTTGGGAAATGCAAATAGTATCTTAAATGATAAATTGGCGATAACTCACTTTGGGTGAAAAGTTCAACAAGTTTTTTCTTTGCCTCTTCATTCTCGTGCGTTTGATTCGACTCCAAACCGTTAATGATCCTCTCGAAGTCCATTTTGAGTGCTTTAGTTAATTAGAGTCGAAACAGTGGACAGCATGTGCTGTTGCTTGATTGATTTTTCAGCATGAGCTCTCCTTACTGCACTGCCACCTGCCGCCGCCGCCTCAGTTCTCTCTCTCCCCTTCAGCTGTGGCTGAACGTTGGCAAGCGTTGTGGTTGTGGCCACCACTCCAAGAACTTTGTAGCCGTCGTCGTCGTCGTTGCTGTCGTCGTTGAAGTTTTCGTGGTCTCTTGGTCGTGTTTTTTCTGTTTTCTGCGCTGCGTGTGCTTTTTGCTCTCTTCTTCGTCGTTGTTGTTGTCAACTGATTTACAAAATTTGCATCACATTTTGCCACAAGTGTGTTTGCTGTGTGTTGTCCATTGGCCAATGAAATTGTTCTACTTACCTCTGCTAGTTTCATCTTCTTCACATGTTTTCTTTAAGAGGTTAATTCGCGTTTTTTTCTACATTGGCTTTGCAGTAAGGTTCATCATTTTCATGTTCTTCCAGTGGAGCCCACTTCGCCTTCGTGCTATTTTGATTTATCGTAAGTACATTAAATATCGGAACTAAACGTGTCCTATCGATAATGAACGGCTGATTCGTGACACGACTATTATTATCAGCTGTTCTCAACAGCCTCGTGTTCGTGTTGGGGATACTTGCTCTACTAAACGTGTCCTATCGATTACGAACGTTTGGTTCGTGACACGACAATTATTAACAGCTGTTCTTAGCAGACTCGTGTTTGCATTGGGGATATTCGCTCTACTTAATTAAAATCTTGCTGAAATTTACATCCTATTAGGACACGGCAGATAATATATTAATGTATTATGATTGTGCTTGAGATAATATTCTTCAAAACAAAATAAAAAATTATATTTCGAAATTTCCATTCGATGCCAATGGGAAAAATCAGCTGTTTTATGTGCAATCGATATTTTTACATATATATTTAACATTAGAGGGAAAACGTCTCTTGTTTAGCAGCGCGGCTGATGTTCAGCTGTTGCGCTTATCAAATCTGAACTGGCAGAGGAAAATTTGAAATGGGAAGTTATATTGTCGTGCGTCGACTGGCTACACAGCCCAAATTGGCCCATGCCCCTAAACGGTATTATATATATAATTTATGCCTACCTGAACACATTTTAAACCCATTTTTGCTTGATGCAGCAAGTGGAAGAGCGTCGTTGGCTTGGAGGTGCACGCACAGATTACAAGCGCATCCAAATTGTTCTCGGGCAGCGGCACAGCCTTTGGTGCGCCACTGAACACAGCGGTTACCTACTTTGATGCATCGATACCAGGCACGCTGCCGGTGAGTTTTTCACGGGTCTCTTTAACAATTTTCTAACTTGGAACTTCTCTCTTCAAGGTGCTCAATCGCAAATGCGTAGAGTCTGGGATAAAAACCGCCTTGGCGCTTGGCTGCCGGGTGAACGAGGTTTCCATGTTTGATCGGAAGCATTACTTTTATGCCGATTTGCCAGTGAGCATTGACAGTTCGTCACATCGATCGCTATATTGAATCTTTATATATTCTTTTAGAACGGCTACCAAATTACACAACAACGCGCTGCCCTGGCGAACGACGGTCTGATGACATTCCCGGTCATAACGCCTGGGAAGAAGGTCTACTATAAATCAGTCAACCTTCTGCAATTGCAACTGGAGCAGGACAGTGGCAAATCGTTGCACGACGAGCAGCTCAAACGGAGCCTAGTTGACCTTAATCGTGCTGGTGTGCCATTAATGGAGCTGGTATTTGCGCCAGATTTGGAGACTGGCGAGGAGGCTGCCTCGTTGGTGAAAGAACTGGTGCTTATACTAAGACGACTGCAAACCTGTAGCTGTAAAATGGAAGGTGAGTGCCTGACAAAATGTCCAAAAGGCTTCTACGAGTGTCTATTTATTTGCAGAGGGTGCCCTGCGTGTGGATGCGAATATATCTATACATGAGGAAGGAGCTCCTTTGGGTGTACGCACAGAGGTCAAAAACATTGGCTCCGTGCGCAGCATATCGCAGGCAATTTCATATGAAATCAATCGACAGCTGGAGCTTGTTGCCGAGGGCGGCGTGGTAACAAACGAAACGCGTTCCTGGGATGCTGAGCATAGACGCACCGTGGCAATGCGTGATAAGGAGGTGCTGCAGGATTATCGCTTCATGCCCGAGCCCAACTTGCCGCCGCTGCATGTTAATCTTAAACCGGGCTCGGTGTCAACCCAAGAATTAATATCGGTTGCGGCTCTTAGTAAGGAAATACCCGAGTTGCCTGAGCACACGCGTCAACGCCTTGTGGAACATTACAAACTTAATGCAGAGACAGCCATCATTTTGGTGGTATGCTCTTCTCGCTCTTTAATATTTGATAAAACACACAAATTTTGTATTTTAAGAATGAGCCTGTCCTGTTGGAGCATTTTCTGAACATTACCGAGAGCCTGTCGGATGTCCCAACCAAAGTAGTTACAAATTTTCTCATCAACGACTTGTTAACTTACTGCAACAAGCTTAACCTGGACATCGAAGATTAGTATGCACCCATTATATGTGCTTGTACCAAATATTGATTTAATTTCGTGTTATTTTTAGTTCCACGAGCGCCAATGCTTTGAAGGATGTCTTGAAGGCGCTGCATGCAGAACAAATCAATTTACAAGCAGCCCGCCAACTTATTCAACTTTTACACGCGAATCCAACTAGCTCAGTTTGCGAAGTATGAAGCTCTGCATGTTGCACAATTGGAAGCTATAACTTGTTGTTATCCTTTTATTTTGCAGCTTATTGGACAACACAATCTGCAACAGATTTCTGATCTCGCCACCATTGAGGCTTATTGTCAGCAGGCTATTGCGAACCAGCCGAAGGCTGTGCAGCAATACCAAAAGGGCAAATCCAAGGCTCTCTTTGCCATTGCTGGCGAGGTGGCCAAGCTGTCGGCGCAGAAGGCGAACATGAAAATCGTTGTTGAGTGTTTGGAAAAGCTGTTAAAAAAATAAAGGAAATGTTAAAGTGTTACTGGACGTGTGAATTTTTTGTATATTTAATCAATTATGCTGTAAGTTCTTGAACACATGCTGTATTTAGTTTGGGTATGTTAAAAGTTGAATGTGCATGTCAATGTTATATAAATTATTATGTGATCGATTTATAGCTCATATATGATATATATGTAGTTCTGTGCTCTCCTGCCTGTCGAGGAGAAGCGGAACTTGTGACCCTTTAATGTATAATATTGTAAATTATGCTTGTGTGTCATATTCGATATATGTCCAATTCAGGAAAAACCAATTAAATGCGAAAAAATGGAACGCACTATATTCGATTGTCTATCAAGGCAGACAATGAACAGCTAGAATCGTATTTGAAGCTCTTCAACTTTGATGAATGGTGAACTAAATAACGCGATTTTCAATATTTGTTGTTATCATGATTTTTGTTATCTTAAGCGTTTGCCTCGAAAATAAATGCACGTATTTATCCTTACGCTGGCAGTTAACGTTACGTCTTGGCGGGATCAAGTAACCAGATGACATCCATTAATCGCGATCGTAATCACGACACGTTGACGGCGGCAGGCTCATGGAGACAGCAGAGTCCAGCCTGGAATACAGATAGAATACAATAAGGAATGTGTATATATATAGGTTTGTCGAACATGTCCGACTAGAAGATACCCTGGGCTCAGCTCCGAACAGCAAGATTCATGATTGAACATTGAATTTATGTTCACATCGCTTTTAGAGAACAACGAGAGAGGGTTACGTGGATTTTCCAGATGGTAATCAAGATTATATTTACTTATTTTGGCTTTGCCATATGTAGCATATAGCATATAGGAATTCTTTTAATATTATTTATAATTTTTTAAGCATATGACATAAAATATTCGTCGACTAATAAGCAGGAGGAATAGCTAAGAAGATTATAGAAGAGTAAAAACTGAGTATAATCTTAGGCAAACATTTCCTAAGATTGGATCAAATTATATATGAAATATATACTATAGATTAAGAAAACATGTTTAAGAACTGAAATCTCTAGGTTTTTTATTTTCCTATATAGACATAAATCAAAATTTCCCAGCCCCATATCTCGGTCAAATCTCATCCGATTTTAATAAGGTTTGGCTTTTTGTTCATGGTTTGACCTCTAAATCAATTTGGCATCAAAAACTGGCAACCGTATTTTTGGTCAAAATTCATGTAAAAATTATACCCTCAAAAATCCTATATAGACATAAGGCAAAATTTCCCAACCCCATATCTCGGTCAAATCTCATCCGATTTTCATAAGGTGTGGCTTTTTGTTCATGGTTTGACCTCTAAATTAATTTGGCATCAAAAACTGGCAACAAATTTTTTTGGTCAAAATTCATGTAAAAATTGTACACTCAAAATACTTATATAGACAAAGGTCAAAATTTCCCAGCCCCATATCTCGGTCAAATCTCATCCGATTTTCATAAGGTGTGGCTTTTTGTTCATGGTTTGACCTCTAAATCAATTTGGCATCAAAATCTGGCAACAAATTTTTTTGGTCGAAATTCATGTACAAATACTTATATAGACATAAGTCAAAATTTCCCTACCCCATAACTCGGTCAAATCTCATCCGATTTTAATAAGGTTTGGCTTTTTGTTCATGGTTTGACCTCTAAATCAATTTGGCATCAAAATCTGGCAACAAATTTTTTTGGTCGAAATTCATGTACAAATAGTACCCTCAAAATACTTATATAGACATAAGTCAAAATTTCCCTACCCCATAACTCGGTCAAATCTCATCCGATTTTAATAAGGTTTGGCTTTTTCTTCATGGTTTGACCTCTAAATCAATTTGGCATCAAAATCTGGCAACAGTATTTTTGGTCAAAATTCATGTACAAATTGTATCCTCAAATATCCTATATAGACATAAGTCAAAATTTCCCAGCCCCATATCTCGGTCAAATCTCATCCGATTTTCATAAGGTTTGGCTTTTTGTTCATGGTTTGACCTCTAAATCAATTTGGCATCAAAATCTGGCAACAAATTTTTTTGGTCGAAATTCATGTACAAATAGTACCCTCAAAATACTTATATAGACATAAGTCAAAATTTCCCTACCCCATAACTCGGTCAAATCTCATCCGATTTTAATAAGGTTTGGCTTTTTCTTCATGGTTTGACCTCTAAATCAATTTGGCATCAAAATCTGGCAACAGTATTTTTGGTCAAAATTCATGTACAAATTGTATCCTCAAATATCCTATATAGACATAAGTCAAAATTTCCCAGCCCCATATCTCGGTCAAATCTCATCCGATTTTCATAAGGTGTGGCTTTTTGTCCATGGTTTCACCTCTAAATCAATTTGGCATCAAAAACTGGCAACAAATTTTTTTGGTCAAAATTCATGTAAAAATAGTACCCTCAAAATACTTATATAGACATAAGTCAAAATTTCCCAACCCCATAACTCGGTCAAATCTCATCCGATTTTAATAAGGTTTGGCTTTTTGTTCATGGTTTGACCTCTAAATCAATTTGGCATCAAAATCTGGCAACAGTATTTTTGGTCAAAATTCATGTACAAATTGTATCCTCAAATATCCTATATAGACATCAAAATTTCCCTACCCCATAACTCGGTCAAATCTCATCCGATTTTAATAAGGTTTGGCTTTTTGTTCATGGTTTGACCTCTAAATCAATTTGGCATCAAAAACTGGCAACAAATTTTTTTGGTCAAAATTCATGTAAAAATAGTACCCTCAAAATACTTATATAGACATAAGTCAAAATTTCCCTACCCCATAACTCGGTCAAATCTCATCCGATTTTCATAAGGTGTGGTTTTTTGTTCATGGTTTGACCTCTAAATCAATTTGGCATCAAAAACTGGCAACAAATTTTTTTGGTCGAAATTCATGTACAAATAGTACCCTCAAAATACTTATATAGACATAAGTCAAAATTTCCCTACCCCATAACTCGGTCAAATCTCATCCGATTTTAATAAGGTTTGGCTTTTTCTTCCTCTAAATCAATTTGGCATCAAAAACTGGCAACAAATTTTTTTGGTCAAAATTCATGTAAAAATAGTACCCTCAAAATACTTATATAGACATAAGTCAAAATTTCCCTACCCCATAACTCGGTCAAATCTCATCCGATTTTCATAAGGTGTGGTTTTTTGTTCATGGTTTGACCTCTAAATCAATTTGGCATCAAAAACTGGCAACAAATTTTTTTGGTCGAAATTCATGTACAAATAGTACCCTCAAAATACTTATATAGACATAAGTCAAAATTTCCCTACCCCATAACTCGGTCAAATCTCATCCGATTTTAATAAGGTTTGGCTTTTTCTTCATGGTTTGACCTCTAAATCAATTTGGCATCAAAATCTGGCAACAGTATTTTTGGTCAAAATTCATGTACAAATAGTACCCTCAAAATACTTATATAGACATAAGTCAAAATTTCCCTACCCCATAACTCGGTCAAATCTCATCCGATTTTAATAAGGTTTGGCTTTTTCTTCATGGCTTGACTTCTAAATCAATTTGGCATCAAAAACTGGCAACAAATTTTTTGGTCAAAATTCATGTAAAAATTGTACCCTCAAATTACTTATATAGACCTCTAAATCAATTTGACAGAACCTATAAGAGCTCGAGACTGGAAATTTTAGATGTAGGTGCTCCTAGTTCCCGCGCAGATCGAGTTTGTTTCCGATAATCGATAACTTACTCCGTTTCCAAGCAATCGATATCTATATCCCGTTTTTTGGGCAATTTTGGTAAATAATAGGAGCTAGAGTCACCAAACTTGACATATAGCTTCTAAAATAGAATATATATATGCATTTGATGTTGGAAGAAGAGGGTTCAGGGTATCCCCTAGTCGGGAGCTCCCGTCTAGAACCTCTTACTTGTTTATTTTTTACATACCGTCTGCTTTCGCTTTCCAGCAAATGGGCATCGACAGGATGCTGGGAGACATTTCGTAGGGAGTCGCCCAATGTGCTGCGCAGATGTTGCATCTCGCGATTTGCCTTGGAGCTGCGCAGTATATATTGCTGTCGCCGCTTGGCCTCCTGAGCCAGCTGCTCGCGCAGCATGGAGATCTGTTGAGGAGGAGCGTTAAGGAAGGTGAAGGTGTGTGATCCTCTTGGAAATGGGCTGGCACTCACCTGGTTCTCGAGGCGCAGCACCTGCTGCTTGTGGGACTGCTCGCGAGCATCGAGCAGCTTCTCGGCATGCATTTGGGCGCTGCGATAGCGATCCGCGTCCAATCCCTCCGAGCACTTGGCGCTGTCATGCATGCGCGCCTTGCAGCGCGCCAGCTCCGATTCCTTCTCCGCCAGCAGCGTCTCCAGGCGGCGCACCTTCAGCCGCAAGTCGCGCGTCTCCTGCTCAATGACGCTGTGGTCCAGGCCACAGCTAAAGGAGCCTCCGGTGCCGAGATCATAGCGATTGGAGTCATATTCGCCGGCATCCCCGCCGCCGCCGCCATAATAGGAGCTCGCTTTCTCGGCACGATCGTAGGCGCTGCCGCCGGCGAATTTGCTCTTGCGGTCGGACTCCAGCTGCTTGACCTTGTCCTGTAGCGTTTGCAGCTTGCTGCGCAGCTCGGATTTCTCGCGCTGCGACGATTTCAGCTGGCGACTCAGCTCCTCCTCCTCTTGGCCAGCGCCGCCGCCGCCATTGCCGCTGGTTAATCCTTTGTCGCCATTCTCCTGATTCCACTTGGCGATGCGCAGCTGCGACTCGAGCGCCGAGCGCTGCACCTCGAGATCGGTGACCTGCTCCTGCAGCCGCTGGTTGCCATCGAGTTGCGCCTGCTGGCTGCGTCGCAGCTCGTTGAGATTGGTCTGGGCGCTGTCCAGCCGCTCGGTTAGGATGCGCTTCTCGTTCTCCGCCGTTTGCAGTGACTTTTGGAGCAGTTTCAGCTTGTCTTCGTTGGCCTGGGAGCAGTGGCCCTGCTCGGAGAGCTCCTTCTGCAGCGTCTTGATCTCGCCCCGCAGCTGCGTCTCGCTCACCGCGCTCTTTTGCAGTCGCTCCTTGAGCTGGTCCACGGTGGACTTGAGCGAGGTGCAGCGATCCTCCAGCTGGGTCATGGCGCGATTCTGGTTCTCCAGTCGCTCCGATACCTGCCTAATGTTGCAGTCCTTCTCCTGGAGCGCCATCTGCAGGCGCGCCAGGTCGCCCTCCATGGCGACGCGCTGCAGATCCAGCTTGCTGGCGCGACCCTCCACCTTGGCCAGCTCTTCCTGCAGCGCGCGCTTCTCGTTGTCCAGCTTGCCGCACATTTGCCGGCACTTCTCCAGGCGCTCCTCGTTCTGGCCATTCTCCTCGGACGTAGCCGCCAGCTGCATCTCGGTCTGGGCGAGCCGCTCGCGCAGCATTTGACACTCGTCGCTGCGCTGTTTGAGCTTCTCCTCGAGCGCGTTCAGCGCCGAGATTTTCA